GGAGATGTCGAAAGTTAAAGTTTTCCAACTTGTACCTGTGATATCTCCGCTTCTACTGGGAATTGAGAATGGAAATTTATGGTAATATTATGGTTGGTATAGGACTACATTGTGGCAAGAGCGCGTTCCTGTATCTTGAACCGTTTAGGAGATATAGTAATTTAAAGTGGTTAACATGTGATGGTAATATCTCCGTTTCTACTGTGAATTGAAAGTCGTGCTTTATGAAAGTAGGGATGATATAGAACTATATTGCAAAAGGGCATTCCTGTATCTTGTGATCTTGAGGAGATATCGAAGGTTAAATATGCTATCGATGTGGTTCGCTTATAACTTCCATTTATCTCGAGAGCGCTTCTCGGGAACATTCCGTTCGAAAGGTTAGTCCGCAATAAAAAGTTTCTTGCGATCTGAGGTCGCTCATGTTTAAAGTTAAATTGCAGCAACAGTATTGTTATCGGTCAACCCTAAGACCGGCTGCTAACATCCATTTGTAACGTCTGCCGCGCCTTTGCGATTACCGATAAATTCAGTTTTCTTGATTGCTCGCGCGATTTCAAGTGGCCATAATATGTGGCGAGAATACATGGCAATATATGGGAATAATATATGGTAATAATATACGGCAACAATATATGGCAACAATATATGGCAACAATATATGGCAACAATATGTGGCAACAATATATGGCAATAATATAGGACAATAATTCATGGAATATATTTTTCGTTACAAGAATCTATGCAAATTTGCGGCATGCACAATGTAATATTAAAAGTAATAATGAAGTAATAATAAAAGTTCTTTCTGCGAGCTTTGAGTCAGACACTCACCAATAATGATATTGATGATGTTCTGTTGCATCCAACCAGATCCACCAATGTCCGCCCATGTCCGCTGCCGCTCTCCATGTCGCGCAACATCCATCTTGTAGCTCGTCCCACGGTGATCGCTACACTTTCATCACACTTCCGCGACGCGGTCGATACGCGGTATTAGAACGGCGATATTTACATCAATTAACGAACGTTTTACTCGCCATCGGTGGAAACTTTTTGCGCGCTGCGAAACGGACTATAAACTCGATCGGCGAGGAGTAAGAACCGTATGAAAATTTATTGACTCGTCCAACTGATTTTTACGGTGCTTTTCGCGATTGCGTCTGAAAAGTCGCGAAAATGTGGGATTATCGATATCTACGAGTGAAATATTCGCGACGCGAATGCACGCGAGGAAAGATTAGACAATCAGAGACCGGTTCCCCCTTAGGGAGCGCAAAGAGAGAGGAGCGGCGCAAAGTTTTCACGCATTATAGCTCTGTCACGACGAAGCTTACGTTCGCGAAACTTTGGCGAAAGGAGAATTTAAGTTTTCTTTGTTAGCAACGCGAGTAAAAACGCGTATATTGACAACCGCGGTCCCGATATTTAAAGGCACGCGAGCGAGGATACCTCAAGCTCGGCGTGCGCTGGCGCAATTTCTACGCGCATTATACGCTACTCGAGATAATAGGGATTGTGATGAATGGACAATCTTGCCAAATAATTCTACAGCTTGTTTTGCAAATAAAAGAAAAGTAGCTAACGATATCGGCATTTATTTATGAATATATTTTATACGGACAATTGAATATTGTCAGATAATTAAATCGTTAAGTAATTCTGCGGCCCGCTTGAAAAATAAAAATAAAGCAGCTGATGTCGGTGTCGCGTTTGTACATATGAATATTCTCTTATTCAGAATACTGAACATCAAAAGAGAATCATTCAGTATTTTAAATCTTGTATGTAATGCAGGCTATCGATCAAGTAATCCCCTGATTGTTTCGAGCAATGTATTTTATTCAACGTCACAAATACACACATGCAAGTATCTATTTGCAATTCGCATTGACTCGAACGATATTTTTTAGTCCCACATCCGTCATGCAGAATATTGTTTCTCTTTTCATTTTGACTCACCGAAACGACTTGCAGTCAGAGCCGGCCACGTTCCGCTTCAACACTATAACAAAAAATTCACATTTGCTTATCAGATTTGACCAACGAGTGCGGGCGAGTAAAAGAGTAGTTTACCCTCTGCGATCGTAATTCAAGTCGAGCCGGAAATTATATCCCAGCTCTAGATCGCCAAGTCAAACAGAGGACTATAGTAAACTTGTAAACTTACCTTCAAACCGACTCTGCTTCGCCCGAACCGGATCCTCCGGTGCGGCATCCGCGTCCACCGGATTGCTGTTGCTTTCCGCAACAACTGAAACAGAAAAATAATTTTCCCGGTTGATAACCTGCGGTAGAGAGAGAATATCTTTGATCGGGACCAATCGAAAATACGGATATATTTTGATACAGAATTTTTATCTTTATATTTTTGTTCCAACATTGAAAATTTAAATGGGACTTGAAGCTTTCAAGAGAGCTGATGAGGAACAAGTTACAAAGGCAAAGATCGTAAAGAGTTGAACACAGATGTGTAGGAAACTTGTAAACTTTACCTTCCGGCCGACCCTGCTCTACCCGAACCGGATCCTCCGGTGCGGCATCCGCGTCCGCCGGACTTGCTTCCCGCAACGTCTGGAACAAAAATTTAGCGTTCTTGGTTGGTAAGCTGCGGTAGAGAAAAAATGGTTGGTCGGGATGAGTGGATAATATTCGCTACGATTTTTTTTCTTTATTGACATTGAATGTCTAGATAGGAGCTCTTGAAAGAGCTGACGAAAGAAAATGACAATAAGAAGCAGAGACAACAGTTGTGTGCTCTCGAAAATATTCTTTTACGGATGGACATTTAAATTCAGATCCCGTAACAAGAGTAAACAAACTTGAAAGAAGCGCTGACCGAAAACAAAAAAGGTTGCAGTCTAAGAAGCGATATGATGTTGAATATTCTACACAAGACCAATATTCTTACACAGGAATTGGGAATGATTCAGAATGTTTGATTGAGAACATGATGAATTCGAGATCCACGTCCATGGACCGTTATCCGTCTCTGTCTGGATCAATATCTTTTGTATACAACAACGCAATAAATAGATAGACAGACAGAGATTGACGAGAGTAATTGCAAATTCATAAAGTGATGATTACTAGTCGAATGATGACGGATTGTGAATGTCGAGCGCGAAATTCCGACTTCTTATTCCCGGAAAATTCGTCAAACGTACGCTCTCGTTATCGGAGACCTCCCGCGTAATAAATGATTCCACATACCTGGAAACGTGACGTATCGCTGCCGGCGTTCTGCTTCTCGACTGCTGAAGTCCTCCGGATTTCACTCGCTCACGCTTCTAATGCTGATACTCGCGATTCAATCTTGCAGTTAATGAATGAGATGCCGACGCGATGCCGATTGAGTATCTCGAGGACCGACGAGATTTCTTTTAATTACACGAGACGGAAGTGACGGGAGCGTCGCGCACGGCTGCTGCTGATGGAATGAGGTCGAATACATGAGGTGCGCGAGTATTATAATACGAAGGGCAAAAAGTGTCGTCGCTCGCGACGACACAATCGGCGCGATGTAAACATTGCGGGCCTCGACGGCGGTTGAGCGCAATAGAGACTTGCCTTTGAGCGTCTCTTGTTTTCTCGAAGGTTTCGGAACGACGAGGGGAATGCGAGGAGGCCTTTCAACTGTACGCGACATTGATGCACTCTATTTATTGATTACTGAAAATAAGGAAAATTACTCTGTCGAAGCATCGGACATTTGTTAGCTTTATGTTAATTAAAGAGGAATGTATACGATTAGAAAATGTGTTAGCAACTAATTGTACAGAGTGTAAGTTGTTGTGACGCCGTTTTCAGAGAATAATTAAAGGTCATGGTAGCGTTAAAGAATGGAATTTCATCCTATGCGAATTTAGTCGCGCTCTTATTAAATATTAGTCCTGTATAAAATGTCGTATTTAAAAGTATTGTTTCGCATTCACGAGATTTTGTCGTGAATTCTGCTCTCAGATTGGATCGCGGATGAATACTTTTTAATGCGACGGGGAATAGAACGTAAAAATCTTGTATGCCTCTGAATCCGAAAACGATTAGGAGAAGAAGTGAATATTTTTCAATACGAAAGTTCGCATTTAAAAATTATCGATTGCGATTGAATAAAGGCATATTTGAAACGAATTGAATCCTTGTTAATGCGAAGCATTCACTACTGCCATCTCGCATTTAGCGCGGTGAAATTTAATGGGAACTAATACTTTTTATTTTCCCTTTCTTCGGATCAGAAAGCAGAATTCAGACGTATTCAAAATGTCAATACTTTTTAATATGTTTCAGTTCGACATTTTATATAGGGAGATTATTCGCTGCGGACAATAACTCTTCTACTTTTCATTTAATATTCAATGATGATAAATAACATTTAATTGCATTCGTTTGGCTTTTTTTATTTCGAAAATAAGAAAATATATACCGGGGTGAGATTTTACCCATGACAACATTAACGTGATTTTCTTTGATGCTTTTTTTAAAAGTTCAAATATTTCGTCGACTCACGGGATATTTATAATCGGAGTCTCGTCATGTTAATTACGTGAATAAACGGATCGAATGCTCACCGACGGCCACTGTCAGTGCCACGAGCGAATGTCCGGAGCGGACGGGATGCTGAATTAAAAAACAAGACGAAGTGAACGGGACGCGGACAACGATACGTCATGCGTCTCCATACATGTCAAATTGTTATATATCAATTGTTATTATAGAAGAGACTTTGATACGGCAATATATATTCGAAGATTTAACATTTAATACGTACTTTTATTTTTTCTGCTCCTGCCCCCCTCTCCCCCGCTCTTTTTAGATCACCGGGCATAGTCTGGCATAGAGATGGCAACTGTCATTGCAGCACGGACATAAACCGCCTGAAAGTGGATGTAGCATGGACTTCCACCATATGCAGATTTTACCACCGAGACCTGAAAGTGGATGTACTATCGTAGTTCCCCTCTCAAAATGGATGCAGATGGCGTCCTTTCCCAGTGCGGAAAGTCGGTGTCGCAGAAAATGTCGTATTGGCCGCTCTCAGGTTACCCTGCTTTAATTGTTTTCAGCGAGGAGGAAGTGCATTTGTCCTGTTGAAAAACTAGTGAAAGGGCTTGAGTAGCTAAATAGGGATGGATGATAATTAACTGCTTTGCAAATACGCTCGACTTTGGCGCATAAGGCAAAAAGTAACCTGTAGAATTCAGCAGCTTAAAGTGAAATAAATACATACACATTTGTACACATAAGCAAATACGTGCGTATACGTTTATATGGACACGAAATCGTAGCGAGGTTAGTACATGCCATGTGAAATAATGCCGGTGGTTATATTGCTCACGTTTAATACGCGCATCACGATATTTATTAAAACACTTAATACAAATTATGAATGGAAATTGATGTAATAATATATAATAAAGGAGAAATTAGATTCGTTACATTTTCAGAGACAATTTCGTTTGCTGCTTCTTGACACATGCAAAAAGTATAAACAAGCAAGTAATAATATCCAAATATAACAACATAATATTTAGATATCTCCTTGGTACTTTTCAGATAATCGCTAAGTGTACGCGTAACCCGTGCAAGCAGAATTTTTTTATTCCCGCTAAGAGGTAAGAAGTACCGCATACTTATAAATTAATATTATATATAATGCGTTCCCATAAATATCCATTATATAGCAATATTGGCATATCTTCAGCAGAAAAATCTGGTCGTCTTGTCAACGGGAAGGGACATTGACATGTCTGAGATACCGTTACTATTTTCACCATGGAATGTCAGTTCTCCAGGAACATATCGTGATTTCTTTAATCCAAATATTTGTCATCTTTGCAAGAGAGATCCTAAAACATCGTCGTTCTATGGTGATAATTACAATATAAATTGTTCGTGCAATATAATTCTTTACTGTACCAACAATCACAAATCAAAACATAGTATGAATCATGAAGAGATCTGCAAAATTTTAAGGAAGTTTTCACACAGTTACCCGATATTCTGGCAAACTCATCTTTTCAGTCAGGAGAACTGGATCAAGTCGAGGAAAGACCTTTTACATTTAGTCAAAGCGGAGTTGCAACGTGATATGAAGCCGTACGAAATGCAGATGATCCTGTTTACTAAATCGTGTTTTATTTGTCATGAACAGTATAATCTCCAAACTTGTACGGAGTGTTATAGCGTGAACTATTGTTTGAATCATGTAATAGCTATGAGATATCATAAATTTTATAATTGCGCCAAATTGAAGTCTTGTCTTGAGACAGATCAATACTTACATAATGTATCATTATTTTATAATAGATTCATTGATGTTGATTATGCTGGTATACATAATGTTGTAAACATGCAACAATTCGCTGAAAAATTTATGACTTTTCAATCTGATCATTTAAAGAAATTCTATTCTGATTACTTATCAGGACCGTTGACATTGCATTATGGAATAATGAACGATTATCTCCATATACAAGATTCCCATTATGTCGTTCATATAATATATGCAAATGTTTTAGATGCACAATATATACTAGCCTGGGAAATTATGCTGCATATTTTACCTGCGGCACTAAAGCATTTAGAAGTTGTATTAGTAGGATCAGAAATGCAGGCCGTACACATAAATGTCGAACTTTGTTCGAGATGCAAACAGCTTAAGAAGAAATTCGGAGTACAAAGTTATCGCATCTCCTTTTACGATTATGTTAACATTATGCTTCCACGTGAACCACCAAATGTAATTATAGCATTTGAAGCAGATATTAGTGAATGGGATTTAAGAGCGAAAATAATTTCAAAATTAAACAGTCAATCTTGTCCACTTATTGTAACGACCGGATCGTATGCCAAATTTCAGAGGAATAGGCAGGAGTTAAGTAAAATTGCGCGTGCACCATTAAATTTAATATCAATCGAAAATAAATTTAGTTCTCTTAGAGCATATAGGAATTTGGAGAATAGTGACGTGTCTAATCGTAATCAGTTTCTAATTATCTTTAGGAGTTTAAGAGGTTTATTCAATTCATATAATGAATCGGTTAATGATAATGTTGAGGCTCAATTCTCGAAAAATGTCGTATACGATATTTCATAAATGTCACCAAATATCACGATTCTTAGCAATTGCCCCATTGATCAAATATCGATATTTCTCACACATTTCCGAGAATTGAGCCTCTGGTCCTTTATATTGGTAGAACTTTTGCGAGATTGAATGTCTGGAGATCATTATTATAATAGATACAAGTAAAAATATACAATGTTGATAATATTTTTGCGCAGCGATACACCTACTATAGTTTCAAATTGCAGCCAATGTAAAAAATTTTATAAATTTGTTTTTTCATACCACTTAAAACTTTTGTATATGTATAAAATACCATATAAAATATCTTGTCAGATTATTATAATAATGTCCGAGGTAATATACGAATTAACAAGTATATATATATATAATTTTATTTCCATATATGTATTATATATTTTTTTAAATAAAGAATGCATTGAGATAGAGTTACTTTTTTTATAATAATAACACCTGAATAATTCCCTTAAAGATACACATTAAATCCTCTGTATCAGAATAACATCAAAGTATAAATTCATCGGATAGAAGTAAAACTCGAATTTTATTTTTCAAGCAATTAACATTTTATTTCTCCATCTACCGTTATTTTATTTATACATTTGGTTTCAACATCACGCATGTTAGAGATATCTTTATTATATTTATTATCTTGAAGGACATTTCGAGTTTCAGTCAGTGTTTTCAAATAGTAAAAGTCATGACGCTTCTACTGAAAAAAAATATAATAATCTTAAAACCGTAGAAATGCTACTTAATCGTTAGGAAGTATTTTCAAAAATCCTTTGTTTCTCTCTCCTTCCTCCCTTTCTCTCTCTCTCTCTCTGTCTCTCTTTCCCTCTCTCTTTGTTTCTCTCTTTCCCTCTTGCCAAGAGATAATGTCAACACATATTTGTTTTTCCTCTCTGAATAATTCTGAAATCTTAAAGCAATTCGGTAAGTGCACTTGATGGAGAAATTCGTTCACGTGTTACGCTGTACTACGTAAAATTATATTACGTTCATTATATATATATATATATATATGGTATACTACACATATAAAGAAAAATAGACTTATTGTACTTAAGAATAAATATTATTATTTTCTCCAGAATTGTTACATTCTGATTACAAGTAAGCGAAAAATGTAGAAAGTATCATTGCGTCGGAATTATTACTTATTAAATCTTCTTTTAACTACGAAGTACGCTCGTTCTGCAAAATAGCTAATGAACAAGTTTGAATAGTAAATAGGAACGGATGGTATTATTATGTTTTATTATGTTCTTTAAAAATATTGAACAGGTATTTTTTATTTCTCAATCCAATGATCATTTCTGGAGAATTGCGGAAAATATAATTTTTTGCGATTACAGCGCCATCTATCACGAATCAAAAAAAAAGTTTCGAACAAAATTTACGTATTTTGTGGCGTAGAATCCGTATCTGCAATAAAAAATGGGGGTTTCCATTTAAGATTTCAAAGTTGCCCCCAACCCCCACCCCCAGGGGGTGGGATAGGAGGTCGAGTTTGGTATCATTGGATGTCCCCCTTCGAGACTAACAACTTTCATTAACCACTTTTTTTTATCCAATGCATAGTTCTCGAGATATTTCTTGTCTTCAGATGTCTTCAGATAAATCGTGCACCCTGTATATATATACAGGGTGTTTGATAGCTGATCATGCAGACGAAAGTTGGAGATAGATTGGGTGTAGCCGAGAAGAAAAGTCATGGAATTGGTTTAATATTTAGTAATTATTAAATTATTCAATATTTAATATCTATTAAATTATTATTAATTATAAGAAAAGTTTTCTCCTCCTTAAATAATTATTAAATTACTTAAAGGAAAACAAAAATATGTCTTAAAATTATTTCTTAGAGAGAAAGGGGAGGAGAGGAAAAAGCTTGAATCAAATTATTTGAGACAAAAAAGACCATTTAAGAGAACAGGTAGGTAATTGTATTTATTATATCATAAAAATACAATGTAAGATAATGTCTTTAGAATGTAAGATAATGTATTTTTAATTGCAATTGATTAGGGTCAGGTCTTCAAATATCTTTCTTTTCAGAAAGAGTACTTAGGCGCTGTACCACACCATTCTTGAAGAAATACCAGGATATCGTTGAGCGGCGAGTCAGTAGGCGCTTGTCTGGCCGTGTTGACCAGCTTGGTCCAGTCATCACGATCAGCCACGCGATTGGACTCTTCAAATTTGGTAACAGGGCCGCACACCGGATAGCCCGTGATCACGCATTGCTGAAGAGTCATGCCTGTGTTAGTTGGCGATGTCAATGAACCCACGTAGACACCCCTCTGGTCGATCGGCAGACCTTGCTCGATCTTCTGATCCATCGACACCGCCAGCACCCATTCTCTTGCCTCCTCGCGTTGATCCTGAGCGACTCCAATATGCTCCGGAAGAGGTACCTCCAATGGGAAATCGGTGACGCGTAAGTCGTCCACATCGAGGACGTTGCTGTCACCCTCTTCCTCGATGCATTCCTCCAAATCAAGAAAGTGGTTAAAAAAGATGAAAGCCTCGCTCAGAAGACCCGCGTCGCGCGCCGCGGTGCCGGCCTCGTAGTAACATCTGTCGGCATGCAAGATGTCGGTGTGTCGCAGCAGACTGATCGACCCCTTGACGACGAAACCGGAAAGCGCTGGAAACAAACGACAGCCGTGTCTCACTGCAGAGAAGTGCGCAGCTTCCAGAAGCCTCTCGAATCTTTCATTGGGTGGTGACGGACGGCAGAGACTGTGCAAAATGTCACGCAACTGTGCCAGATACCTATAATCATATCGAATATAAGACAAAAAAGGAGATAAAGAGAAGTAAATTAATTAGAAATATAATAGACTCTTCATTATGATTGAGAACAAAAGAAGGGTTAAGGAAGAAGGAAGGGGAGGAGGGGGGGAGAGAGAGAGAGAGAGAGAGAGAGAGAGAGAGAGAGAGAGAGAGAGAGAGAGAGAGAGAGAGAGAGAGAGAGAGAGAGAGAGAGAGAGAAGCGAGGATCGGAATTCTTAGACGAAAGAAGATGGAAAATCTGAAAGATCGTTTAAAAGCTAAACACGAAACGGCTACAAACGATCGTGAACGGGAACGGGAGCGAATCAATTCATAGGCATCAGAAGAGCAATCCATGAAACGTCCAAAATAACTCGATAGTCTTTCGCGAGAGAAACACGAAAACGGCACGAGAACCCTCGAAACGAGAGAGCCATCTCAATGTTGCTCAGCTGCGAAATAACAGATTCGTACCTGTACTCTTGCTGAGCCGCGTTCAGGACGCTTTCCGCCAGTTGCAGGTACAAATTAAGGTTCTGCGAAATCGCGGGTGCGCCGTACTGCGCGTACAGCTGCAATGCTTGCGATGCGGAGTCGCTCTTCAGTAACTGCGCGGCGCGTCGCGCCACGAAACGATGTAGCACCTCCGGACTCTGCAAGCTTGCGGCTTCAAACAGTTGACTCCATTGACCCTTGCGCGCCATCATCTCGAGAGCCGCATTATCGTCCACCTCAGCCAGTCGCTCCATTTGGCTCTCGTTCGCCATTGCGTCATGATACTTCTCTTCGAGATAGGGCTCGAGGTCGGGCGCGAGTTCGCGAACGATCCGACGTGCACGTTCCCATTCGCCAACCGCCACCAGCGAGCTCACTGCATCCTTCAGCCGATCCGCCTGAAGAAACACCTACGAGACACGAGACCTTGGTAGACTTATTCCTTTGTCGGGTGCTTATCGATCAACTTATCAATTTTAATGAGCTCCAAATAATAACGCATAGTGCTGGAAGTAGTTAATGATTGGATCTCGAGCTGCTTGAATGGCGTTAGTGATGAAGAGAAGCAAACAAGTGTAAAGAAGAAGAATACCTGAGCGGCGAGTGCATGTTCGCCAACAGAGAACAAACGTGCACCCAGATCGCGGCCGACTTCTGTTGCCGTTTCGGGGTCCGCCTGATGCAGGAGAATGTCAGCCGCGCGAATCAAATACGATCGCGGTGCCTGCGGGTTCAGGATCAGAGTATCCAAAGCTGGTCGCACTTCCCCGAGCTCAAGCCATTTGCGCGCTTCCTCCAGCGCGTTCGCCCCGTCAAGTCCTGCGCTCTTCTGGCCCAACTCCCTGCGAAGGGCTGCTTCTTGGCTGGGTAGGTACTCTCGACACACTCGTAACGCCTCGGACCACATTCCAGCCGTCTGAAACAAAGAATTTGATTAGAGAGATGAAATTTACTCGAAATAAAATGCGGCGAGGTGGAAATACACGCTGAAGACTGATGAGATGATTAGCGGTCGGTAGAAGACAGAACCAATAATAAAGGGAAAAGGATAACAACATGAAAAGATAAGCGGTGAATTTAAAAGTTAGTTAGAAGATCAAGGAATCAAGGAAGCATGAAATGGAACTTTTCGGATAGAAATAAAAATTAAAATACGACTAAAACATAATGAGCAGACAATCAAGAAATAATAAAAGATAGAGAAGAGTCTCGATCAATAGAAGTGTTGAGTAAAGAATCAATAAGAAAGATACCAAACTGTAAAATGTTCTTTTGGATGTCGACGATTCGAAAAATACATACATTTTTACGAGAATCAACGGAGGTTATTTTGGAAAGTTATTAGATCGTTAAAAAGTCTTTTCAGACTTCGAGGACCTGAAGGAAATATTTTGATATCTCGACGCGAGTATTTTCTACATAAAGAGAAATGAAACAAAGTTCAAAGCGCGCGAATTCATTTTTGATCACATATACGATGCGACAATCAGGAAGCATCTCCCAATTTATGCTTGAAGAAACTTCACTTTGCTAAAATTGGAAAGTCTCGGAAAAGACCCTTTGTACCACCTACGGCGACCCTTCGAAGGAGAACTAACTTTATAATGTTCTATTATCATCTCCGGCTTATGAGCTCTCAAGAGAAGGGCTTCCGCCGAGGCGTAGTCTTGGCCTTCGGCAGCTTCGGCTGCCCTGGCGATCAGGACTTGCGCCACTGCGTCTTGACTGTGCGACCGCGCGACATCCTCGGCGGACTCCCAGTCGCGGTTGTGGATGTACATCTGCACGGCCTCCATCGCTTTGCCGGCTAGCACAAACTCCTTCTCGGCTTCGGTGAAACGACCTTCATCCTCCAATGCCATAGCGTAGCGATAGTGCACCTCCTTCTTCTGATCCGCAGTGCCGTATTTGGCGATCTCCAGAGCCCATTCAAACAAATTGGCTTCGCACGCAAGTTGCAAGCAGGGCTCCAGGTAGTTGAGTCTCATCAGCAATCGTGCGCCCAGCTCTGGAGCCAGCGTTCGAGCCCACATTAAGGCAACCTGAGGCAAGAGAAATTTATCTAGTGGCAGAGCCGATCAATCAATTATCAAGATCTTTAATGATGTACATGCTATATCTCTACAAGGTATACAGATATCAACCTGCTGTGCTGCTTTCTCTCCTGAAGCCTTCTTAGCTACTCGCAATGCGTCCTCCCACATATTCGCGGATCTATAAGCAGCGACCGCCCCGCGCCAATCACCAGCGCCTAGAATGAGATATGTTTTACGTTATATAAATTCATTATTATTTGTTGAGGAAAGACCAAACGAGAGAATTTTTCGTTCGTTACGTAACCTAATATACTCTACTACAATCGGTTTAAACTTGACACTGACCTAAGAAGTGCTCTTCAGCCTCTCTCGGCTTGCCCGCCGCGTCCAACTCTCTTGCTAAATGCGTATGAGTGGTCTGAAGAAGATCAGGCCGATGCTCAGCGACTAATCGGATCATGTCACCGCGCTGTCCCGTTTTGCGGTACATCGCAATAGCCGCATCGTGATCGCCGATAGCAATATAGAGCGCCTCGGCATGTCGGAGTTCGCCAATCTGCTGTAGATTCTCAGCATGTCTCGCTAGCACCTCGTTAGCCTCGTCGCTCTTCATGTACTCTTGAGCCACCTGGTGCGCGCGAATCCAGTCGCCTGCTTGCACATGAGTCTCCACAGCGCGTCGAGGATTATCCGCGCGAATAAACAGACCTTCCGCCAAGGAACGCTCTCCGATTGATGAGAAGTATTCGCCCAGCTTCTCGCATTGCTGACGGATCTCGGGGTCGTCGTCTTCGATCACCTAAAACAGGATTAATGTACATTTTGAATAATCTCCAACATACGAGTAGAATCCGGATTGTGTCAGGTGACTTTTAAAACTGACATATTAAATTGACTATAAGAGATCACAAGAACAAGTAACCTTACAAAGAAAAATACATTCTGCGGCGTATCAGAGATTCATAACGCTTGTGAATGTTGCACCGCAGGAAAGCCCACCTGTATAATTTGCAAGGCCTTCCTCCACTGTCGCGCATTAATAGCTGCCTGCAACGCCAATACTGTCTCCCCCGCCTCGATGAAATGATTAATGGCTGCATCGTAATGACCACCAGCTGCTAGATGCTTTCCCCAGTCCCTTTCGAGGCCGACTACTAGCGTAGGATCGACCTTACGTGCCAGGTCGAGGGCTCTGGCGAAGACACCTGCTTGAGCGTAGCAGTCGATCGCCTCAGCGCCAGCAGAGGTTTTTTCCAGCAGCTCACCGGCGAGTTCCATGAGATCGGTAGCCTTGAGGCCACTGATGACGTCTTCGACGATCCTCTCGTCCTCCAGCAGCTCGTTGTCGGCGAGAACCAGTCTGGCGGCGCGCCCAGGTCGACGAGCCTCCAGATAAAGCCTGACGGCTCTTCTGGGATTCGTCGTCTCTATAATGGAGGCTGCACGGGCTGCTTGGCCGCTGTCCAGCAGCCAAGCCAGATGACGGTCTCGCAATTCTGAGAGTCCACTCCAATTGCGACTCTGTGCCAGGTTCAGCGCGTCTTCCCAGTGCCAATAGCGCTGGTACATGTCCAACGCTTTGTCCAGTTCGTTTTGTTCCAGGTAAATTGCCTCGGCGGTTTTCAACTCGCCGTTTAACACCGCCAGCCGAGCCCAGCAATCCGGGTTGGCTAGTGGATCGTTACCTGTCTCCGTGGTATATTTTATGCCGATCTTGAAGCGAGTGAGGCAAGTGAGTAAGTCATTACAGGATGAGGAAAATAAAGATCGAAAAATTATTCTAATAATTATTCTAATAATTAGAAAACGGAAAGAGGAGAAATCTAATTGCAAAGATATATCAAATATATTTAGTAATAAAAGGGAGGAATATCAAAATCAAGCATGCACAAGAAGAAAGATGTCGTGAAGAAGAAATCTTGAGATTTTTGACGTCTTTCAAATACCGCGAGGATCTTAGAGAGAAAGAGAGAGAATCACCTCGACAATCCCCTTTAGAAACTTGGCGCAAGCCACGTCTCCCATTGCCGCGTAACACCTCGCAGCAATCATGATCTTTCTCTCATTCATCGCGTTCCTGGCAACGTTCTCCCACATGGTCTCCACCTGCGGACTATCGCCCATGTTCTCTAAGAACAGAACGACTCTACCAAAATCGTTGTCGTGCAACGCGGTGCCGAACTCGATCAATCCTTCGTCTAACTGGTACGCGACTTTAACACCATGCTCCTCTACCATCACAGACGTTCGGCCGTCCTCTCTGACGACATCCACCACATCACCTTTGATAGGTGTCAGCGTGGCCGCTTCTGATGCATCCACATTGTACCAGACAGCCAGGGTCTGCGTCGTTTGGGCAACCACCACGTCGCTGCTCGGCACCCAGGATGCAAAAGATACGCTGGTTGCCAACAGAACTCTGTAACCGTTCAGTAAGACCCCGAAAACGAGAAGAGATTAAACAAGACGTTGGACGACGATAAAGAATGCAGTTATATATTAAATTTCAACGAAGGTATTAAGCCGGTGAAAAGAAGAGGTTCTTCATTAGGTTTAGATAAAATCGCCTATTTGAATCTCTTTTTAACAATTCAGAAAGGTTTCTTCAAGATGAGAGAAAATGCCGAAGCTGATAGTAAGACTATTCGTAAGACTTTAAAATTGTGATTTTCAACTTTATTATTGGACAAGAAGAACTTTCGCACTGACTTGACACTCATATTTAAGTGTTTCACGTCACTACCTTCCGCCCGCATCGTCGCTTAGCCAAAGACGGCTTTTTTTATCCCGCGACAACAATCGGTGACCCGCCTCGCTCAGCTCTAACCAGTCGATGCGAGCGTCATGGACGATCATGCTGATGGTACCACCGGACAAAAGGTCGATCACACGTACGGTTTTCGGGTCTAATAAGTAAGCTAGCTTTTTGTTGTCGCCTGCGCCAGCCGAAGGTCTCTCATTCACGCGTACGCTCACTACGTGCGGGTTCACCGCTTCTGTTCGCACGGAGCCGAGCGCCTCGTTCTGGCCATATTCGACAATCGTCAGCTCGCCGGAGCAGAAGATGAGGCAAACTACCGGGTATTCGAAGAAGAACTTCTCGCTACCATTCGGTCGGTCCTCCCACGGGATTTCGCTGATCAACCCTAGCTCGATGTCGCCGATCAGCAAGGTGCGCGCCGTGCGAGCTACCACGTTGTTATCTGTACGACCTAGAATACGCACATCGTCGATCTCGAGACCTGTCTGCGACCTGACGACAATGGAGCGATGCGAAGAGTCGTTCAGAGGTCGGATCACCACTTGGCTCGGACCCACGTAAGCCACTTCGTGGCTGCCGCGCACTACCGTGCGTCTGAAAAAGATGAGAGTTTAACGAATCCTGAAGAATTCTGAATATCCAAACATGCGGGTATTTATCTGGATAGTTAATTGTATGATCTCATAATTACGAAAAGTCGAATTAAACGAGAAACTTGAATTGAGAATCCAAACTAGGCCTCCTGCTTGATGTTTAGAAGTAAAAGCCAAGTAGAAATTTCGGTTCAAATGGAAAATCGCTAGCTTAGTTTGAGGAATTAAGACTTAGCTTCCTTCAAACGACTATTGTTCTCGTCTTCGTCGATAGTTGCTGAGAATAATAACCTCAGGATAGTCTCAAACTGCTCGACGCCTCCGCACAGTCCGCCAATCACCAACTTCGAGCCATCTCGCCTCCAAGCGAGCGCCGTAATTGTGTAGAAGTTCGGCAAGGCTCTGACGTTGGTCTCCTCCCAAATACCTCGCCGTGGCGTCCAATCGAGAACGCGCACTTTGTCATAAGAGCCCACGGCAATGCTCTGACCGCTAGGACTGCAGCAAGCCACGGTGATCTCTCGTTCTTGGGGATCGCGACTGAAGTCGAAGTTCTTCACCGGCTTGCCATATGGATCATACAAGGTCAGTCGCTTATCGCAGCCACCGGCCAAAATATGCGACTGCGGCCACGCCAAGGCATAAGCGGGTACTCCGTGGACGCATACGCGTCCTGACGGCTCCGCGCCGCCGTCCTCGGCGATGTAATAGCGGATGATGCTCCCGTCCGCGTGGCTCGACAGGAAGCCGCTGCCACGGACACTGAAAGCCACAGGAGACATCGTGACCAGGGATCTCAATGAATGAGACTGTTATGTAGATGTTTGCATGATTAAAATTATGGGTAATTATATTACAGGTAATTAGTTATGAGTAATTATTTTCAACGGGATAATGATGATAATGATTAAATAATTGTTCTCACGATCATCATGATCGTGCGATTATACGCGATGTTCATGTGGCATAATGATTCAAAGTTTTTGGGACACACAAGGAAAACTTGAAATGTTAATTGATAAACTTTAATTTACTTGCTAGCCAAAGCTATCGTCATAGCATCAGAGGTATAAAGAGTCTGAGCCTTTTGTGACTTCACCAGAGCAGCGCGGACCTTCCCATCTGCCAACCCGATAATGATGGGACCTTCTGTAGGCCAGATCAAACAAGTCACTGCAGCGCTCTGTCGGAATTTGTTGCAGATCACTTTTTTGTCACCCCTGAAGAGACGATCAGTGTTAAAGATTAGATAATTTGTGTCAGTTTGTTAATTTTGTTTGCATTCCAATATTCACTGCCAGTACTGAAAATATATACTTTATGTCACATATATTATAGATTTTCAGTACTGGCAGTAAATATCGGAACGCAGCCTTAATCCTTCTGGAGAGTTGCTGAAGAGAATGAAACACCAATAAACTTACCAGTCTTCTCCTATTTTATATACATATACGATACAATCAGTCTGACCGACTGCAATCTTTGTAGACTCTGGAGAGAAAGCTATACCTTTCACCACATAGCTTTTTTTGCCAAACTAAATAAATAATATATTGCACAGTTAGTGTATCAATTCTATTGTAATTTATTAATTCAATGTAATGTAATCAATTCTATATAATGTATTAAATTTTTTAAGTTTAATTAAGAACTAAAAATTCTATATTTTTACTGAAACTTCTATATATTAAATAAGCACAACTGAATAGAATTGTTATAGTAATAAACAGAGAACAATTATATACCTTGGGATCAACAGGCTTAGTGGAAAATCTGTCTCGTTTCACGCCATTTTCATCGAAAAGGTAGATGGAACGATCCGAGGATGCAACAGCTAATTTCAAATTATTTGGTGACCATGCTATGCTAATTACTTTATTCTCCAGTTCCTAATATATGTAAGTCATATATGTATATATATATAAGTAAATAAATATAAGTAAATAAAGTAAGTAAATAATATATATGTCATATATATATATATAATTAAATAAATACACGAAACAATTACTCAGTAAATAATTATTGTATAAAAATTTATGTAAAAATTTATTTAACAGATATATAATGTCATAAAATCATGGAGGAGATACGAAAACCGAGAAATTTCCAGCTTGTAATATGTATTTTACTCACTTGTGCCGACATAACAGTGCCCAAATATTTAAGTAGCATGTTGAATTATTTACAATATTATTCCCGCGATTATGTTAATATTATTTACAGACGCCAATATGCAGCATTAGTACGGAAACAAAGTATGCATCATACAGCTGACAATGTGTACTCATCGGTTGCTTAGCGACTAAACTCCCACTATGCTCACTAAGTTCGCTTACATTGATTTTATATTTTATCAAAAGTTAATATATTTATTAGAAAAGAAATATGTACATCTATAATATATTATATAAATATATATCTTTAGTTTATACAAAAAAGCGAAATATATGTATTACATATTAAAGAGAAGCAAAATGCGCAGATGTAAAATATATTCATGTAACTTAAAAATTTAATAATATATTGTAGTAATAAAGATAAAAAATATAAAAATAAAACTGACAAATACAAGGAAATAAAAAATTATTTTAATTATAGTATATATTAGTTTAGTACATACATGTATGTTTTTCTTTAAAAAAGAAGTACTTAAATATAATTTGAAATTAGTTTGCTATTGAGACTGACAGATGCCGTTAGCTGTATGACAGATATCGGGTGCTTTCCAGCAACGTACACAAGTGACACTGTGTAACACAGTGTCCGACTCAGTGCTTTCCAACTATGACACAAGTCGACACAATTGGACACAGCTAAAATGCTGTGTTCGACTGTGTTGTCACTCCATGAATACTAACATTTTTAAATCTGATACCATTTATTTTTCTACGGAGTGGTAATTCTGATAGGAGGTAAACATTTTTAAGGTTATATTGAGATGTAAAGGACATGAGGATACACCTACAACTAAGAAGAAAAGTGAGGAGATATATTAGAACCATGGAAAGTATTTAGTACTTTTTTATTATTTGATTACTCAGGTAGCAAAATAATATCTAAAGATGTCTAAAGACATTTTAATGAAGTATTATTGACGTCTTTAGACGCCAATAGATTTTTAATTGCGTTATAAAATATAACATTTATATTGCAAGATGTAAAAATATATGTGTATTAACATTTTTAGACATTAAATAAATATAAAAGCCTTAGCATGAGGATGGTTAGCAAATTATTTATTGTATTATATGATACATTTATTTTAATAACAAATAACCTAGGCTTGCTGCCTGGGTATAATATAATAAAATAAATAAAACCAATATAATAATCAGTGTATATTGTTTATTCCTGGTCAAATATTTCCCTCAATAATTGCATCCTTCGATCTACTTGATGTCCAAAATTAATATTTTCATTTACATTATCATAAATATTATCATTCAGTTCCTCCATTTCGACATCATCATAATCGACATTATCATCGTCATAATTCAAACATAAATTATGTAAGATACATGCAGCTACAATTGTATTTGTAATAAACGGCATTTCACGGTATTCCGAAAAAAATTTTATTCGTCGAAAACGTCCTTTCAGATAACCAAATGCTTTTTCTACAGCCATACGCGTTGAAGAAAGTATGAAATTAAATTCGGTCTAAAGAGGAGTAAGATGACCGTTATCACAAAAAGGAGGAACAAGCCATAAAGACGGATATGCAGAGTCTCCTATTATAAATTTTTCATCTGGAAAAATTACTTCTCTATGTTCATTAACTGAATTGTATAATGCAGATTTTCTCAAGACTCGTGCATCATGGAGAGAACCTGGCTGACCACAGTATATGTTAGTGAATTTCATATCCGCATCTACAACAGCTTGTAGGCTTACAGAAAAGTATTTTTTCCGATTACAATAATCTCTTGCATTCTCCACATTAGGTTTCTCTATTTTAATTTGAGTGCAGTCAATAGCCCCCATTATATTTGGAATGCCTCTTTTAGCATAAAACTAATGATAAACATATGCGACGTGTTGTCCTTCGGGCCATTTAATAACGTCGTCTAATTTTATCAATATCCAAGCTGTCACTCGGCGAATTACTCGAAAGACAGATGAAATTGAAACGTCAAATCTATCTGATATTGTTCGTAGAGGTTCTGTATTTGCCAAGTGCCACAAAAATATAAGAAAGCTGAGTTTCACTTCAATTGGTCTCACTCCAAACGAATGAGAAGGAATAAATCCACTTTCATGCAATTCATCTAGAATATATAAAGAATTATACGTTTTAAATATTATAAAATCATGTTTAAAAATATAAATTATTTGGTATTTAAAATGAATATTACCTATTAATCGAATTGCTAAATTACGCTTGATTCGCAAGTGCTCTTTAAATTCTAAATCTGTCCAACTATCCACAACATGAAGATAATCTTCAACTCGATGTCTTTTACACCCACTGATTAAATATTTCATTAAAGGAAACAACAATAAATAACCATCGTTTTCTTCACTACTGAAAGATGTATCATCAATTGAAAGACTACTATTGTTCCAGTCTATTTCACTGTTGCTTGAGTCTTCTGTGTTTGTACTGGTGTTTATCATACTCTCCAGTACAAGATTAACAACTATCTTTTCCTTCCCATTCATCTATATTAAAATTACTTAATTAATTAATAAAACTATTAATTTTTTTAATAATAAATAAAATTAAATAAAGTGAAAAGATAAAATAAAACATGCTATATTTAATTAATATTAAAAATAGTATTATAAAAAATATATTTATTTAATTGATTACTTTTCCATAACAATTTAATGTACATAATTTAATAAGATTTTTTTAATCATTCTCTTCTATATATTTGATAAGTAAGCTAATTTATAAGAAAATTTTGTTAAAAAACACTAACCTTTATATAACTTATAAGAAAGTATCTTGTAACGATTTAGATTATTATTTTAAATTATTGACATATGTCTGTTTGCATTGCAAACTAATAACAAGAAAGTAACTGCCCTGCACTCTGACGGTGAAAGAAAAAAGCTAAGCAGCTACAAGTCCCAGCTACAAGTCGACACTGTGTAACACTGTGTCACACAGTGTATGACTGTGTTCCGTTGCTGGAAAACACCCATCATGTTAGATTTGTTCTTTCTTGCTGAACTAGTTTACACTTTCGGAACTTAAAATTAAATAGATTTATTTGAGACTTGATGAGGGGGAGAGAGAGAAAAAATGAGTCAGTGCAATGTAGTGCAAGAAAAATAGGGACAAACGGGACAGCGACGCGATTCTTTAACTCGTTATTGGAGTTAACGACAGTTTCGTTATCGTTGCGCAGCTTTTCTACGGTATACAAAAGCTGCGCAACAATAACAAAAGTGTCGTTAACTCCAATAACGAGTTAAAGAATCGTGCCGCAGCAGTACCGCGATTCTTTAACTCGTTATTGGAGTTAACGTGGAGGAAATTGTCTATGAAAAAAATAGAATACAATTAATAGTAACAGTGTCAGATCCAAAATAGATTTCTTTTATTCATTACGTCTGCAGTCGATTTATTACATAGTTTCCTCTTTTTTTTCTCCATGTCACTCGATGTTGGCGGCTGTGGATCATCCATTCTTCTTGTTCATTTTTTTTCACAGAACTAGTCACAAAACTTTCACAACACTCACTGCACTACATTACACTTCTGTCGCACAATACGCGAGAAGAGGGCCCTTTATACACACCTAACTTACATTTTAGATACATCTGTGGCGCAGCTGTTTTCTAGCTCGACGTCAGCTTGCGCATGCACACGGAAGCTTCCGCGTGAGAGAAAATCTTGCCAGAGCGCGTCACTGGCATGATAAATAGATTATTTATTGATTTGTTTTTATTATTTTATTATTATTTAATTGTTTTTCTTATTTATGACACCATCTCCTCATGCACAATTCAGTATTACGAATTTTCAAACGGTGTGTGTGCATTAAGTTAAAGCATTTCATACGTTTTATCTAAATTATTAGGCTAATTCTACATGATCTTTTAATTCATTGACATGTGAAAACAAATATTGTATAAGCAATATATTTTTATAATAATAGTAATATATAAAATATATTAAAATAATTATATGTTACTGATAAGAAGTAATTATAAGTACAAGTTGGAGTAAGTTAATTATTTACATTAGTTTCAAATATTATTTGACACTTATGTAAATATACAAAATTTACTATAAATAATATGTAATGTATACAATAATTGTAATGGTCAACATTATTAATTATATTTTATGAACAATAATAGAACGTCTTGTTCTAGAATATTTTACATCAGTAAAGTTGACTGTTTATTGATTTATCTATTTGTTTATATGTGTGTATGTATATATATGTATATATATGTATATACATCTTTTTTCAGGTTTCATGAACCAAAGTTACTAAACACTGCAGTTGAAGCAAAGGTTCGCCACATAGATTTATTGGTTGCTAGGAATAAAGCTCAAATAGCAATGTTGGATGACACGAAGTTAAGGGATTTGGATATTCCTCTGCAACAAGAAATTAATATGTTATCCTGGCTATATACCGTAACTCCTGCATTTCCAGTGAATGGCTCCAAGGTAAAAGTCAAATATGCAAGAACCTAATAGTTGCATATATTATTGCATATATTTTGTTTTAACTAAACTGATTTTATCTTTTCAGATCACTATAATTCACAAACCTCAAATATTTTACAACACTCTACTAGAAAAATGTAAAAATGCCAAGAAAAGAATCACTCTGGCTTCGCTGTATTTGGGCACTGGTGCACTAGAGATTGAATTAGTAAATATTTTTCTCAACACATTTATGAGTAAAAATTTTATAGAGAAATTGTTCTTAAATAAGAACACTTAAATACTTTGAAGATTGAATTAGTAACTATAATAGTTAAGAAAATTATAAAAGAGAAAGAGAAGATATATTCTGACTAACTAAACTAGTTTTGTCGATTAACAAAATTGTTTTTCTTCATTCAGGTGAACACAATACAGCAAGCGATGAGCAGGAATGGTAGCAACGTGCAAGTTCGGATCTTGCTGGATTATATGAGGGGTTCTCGAGGCAAGCAGAATTCCCGAAAGATGCTGGAGCCTTTACTAAAGGGCGAATACAGTGATTATTGCAAAGTTTTCCTTTATCACACGCCGAAATTGCGCGGCGTCATGAAAGCAGCGATTCCTGATCGTTTCAATGAACTTATCGGTCTGCAGCATATGAAACTGTATATGATCGACGACGATCTTATTATTAGCGGGTAGATCGATACTTATTATCGCGATTGGTGTACATTTGTGCTTTTCTATTATGTGTTATTTTCATATAATGATTTACATAAATCTTTTTATTATATAGAGCGAATCTTAGCAACGATTACTTCACAAATCGGCAGGATCGATACTTCGTCATCGAAGATTGTGGGGACTTATGTGACTTTTATCATAAATTGGTCGAGAAAGTGGCGGAATTTAGTTTCTTGTTGCAACCAGATGGCAATATGAGTTTAAGTCTCGCTCCAAACTGTCATCCTTATAAAGGATCCCGGAAAATCTTCACCAAAGAAGCCGCGTCTAAAATACAAACGCTTTTTCAGAATGAGATAGAGAAGCGTGCTAATCACAACAAAAATGGTATGAATCCAATTGTGTATAATTTTGTGCTCCACATCAGATATTCAAATTGTTTGACCAAATGGAAACGAACATACGAGGCACGTTGAAGATGGTCCATTGATCGATTTAATTTTCGTATGTTGTTTATCTTATGTTATTTACTTATGTTGCAGACGCAGACACGTGGATATTTCCATTAGTGCAAATGGGTCAGCTAAATATCTGTCACGACAGCGAGGTAACGTTGAAGCTCCTTCAGACTGCTCCAGCTGGTGCTACGCTCAAGCTGGCGACTGGTTATTTCAACTTGACCTCTGACTACAGCCAGGCTGTGCTTAGAGATTGCCAGGCAACGTGTCATCTTTTAACAGCGCATCCCACTGCCAATGGTTTCTTCAGTACGTTGTTTGCATACCATTTGTTGCACCATTAACGTAAACTGTTTTCAAAGTTTTAAATATTCGCATATTAATTCAGTAAACTAACTGTACTGCAATTTCAGTAAGCTAACAGTACTGCGATTCAGTAAACTAACAGTAAACTGCGATTTCTCTCCAATATAAATTACTTACTCGTAGATAATTAGAAAACATTTCATTTAGATTTGATAACTTGGCTTCGAATTAAAGTTTAAAGACTCTTTAATGAATAACTAACGGTATCATTTTCGTTTCGATGTTTATATTATATTCTATATTTTTATGGTGATAATGTTATATTTCCTATACTTTTAGTAATTTATAATTACGTTTCCCTTTCAGACGCTAAAGGAATCGCCGGGGGAATTCCAGCGGCGTACACCAGAATAGAAAAGTCTTTCTATGATCTCTGCGAGAGGATGGATCAACAGAGGAGAGTAACATTATGGGAGTTTGTAAAACCGGGTTGGACGTATCATGCGAAGGGTCTCTGGTACACCTTGCCGGGTCAACAACGACCTTCGTTAACCCTCGTAGGCTCACCGAACTTTGGTAAGAATAAATTTTCATTATATATATTACTTTCATATATCAAAGTATGTGTATTTCAGGCTATAGATCAGTGAATAGAGACTTGGAAACGCAAGTCGCCATAGTGACAAGAAATGAGAAGCTGCAAGACGCGCTATACAAGGAACAGGCGCGATTGTTCTTTTGTGCCAAACCCGTGACGAAAAAGACTTTTTCCCAGCAAGACAGAATACCGCCGGCCTGGGTGTGCGCGATCGTACTCTTTTTCCGCTACTACTTCTGAAGTTAAAACATCTTCGCAAGAACTTAATGTTTTAAATCTAATTCCAATTATGTGCTCCCTAATAAAATTTGGTGCAATAGAGCTTCTCATGATTGATCTACGCGCTTTAAATTTCTCGGATAGTTTATATTACAATCTAAAATTTGATTTCTACAGTCTTATATTCTATTTACAAATTCTATTACACATTCACTGTACAAGACGCGAGGGAACTTTTAGGTCGTAGGATTAAAAGAAGATTCAATCTTTTTCTGTTGTGGAATTGCATAAATTTGATATATATAAATTTTATGTATACATTCCATAAATTAATTATCTCGCATGAGTGATAAATTAATACTATACTCCGGGAGGTGTAGCCGATGGACATAATTGGTGGCACTATTACTTCTTTGTGAGCTATCCGATAAGGGATGTGGTAAAATTTAACATAGTTATGGTGGCGGCGTTTCTTGCGTAGCGCCGGACACGCGGAAGCAGTTTTAACACGGATATTATAATGGTAATAATACAGTAACGATTGTCCGTTATCACTCATGGTTCACAAAACTGGGACAATTGCAACGATTATTCAATAATCGCTGCAACTATCGACGACGGGCACGATCACGATACTGCACAGATGGAAACCAGCCGATATTTTGCACTTCGAGATTTCCAAGATCGACAAACGCACAGTAGTTAACGACAATTACAGAAGAAAATTTATTTTTCGTCAATGACAAACGTTTCCTCTTTAACGAAAAACTCCACAACCTCTTCCTCCACGTTCTTCGAATCAGAATCTAACTCATCGGTGTCAATATCTGAAAATACGCGTATATTATTAATTTTCACCTCAGATTTTATTTTATAAGAATTTAAGCAAAATATTTTAATTCTTAATAAAATTGTTTTGTTTCGTATCAGATTGTCTTGTAGTATCTTATTATATATGGCCTTCTTAATGATAGAACAAACAATGATTTGGTCTATATAACCAATGTGATGTGTTCATGAATCATGACATATAGATAATATAATGTATATAATATAAACTTACTGCAACGTAATTCAAGACGACGTTTCTTTTGATTATTCCATTCGTCAATACGTTTTGTGCGATACTCCTCGAAGGCTTTCATCAATGTGCAACGCTTTTCGATTAGTTCCTGTAAAATTATTTCAATCAGCCATCAGAGAATCACTATTTAGATATGCGATAGCTTTAGAAATAATTTATAATCACAAGAATAAAAACAAAATAAAACAAGAATAAAAACAAAAATTCACGAATCATTTTAGTAATGGATATCACCATCAAGGAATAATTATTTTATATTGATAGCGTACTGAAGACATATTTAATATTAATTAAAAAGTACCTTCGAAGCACGCGTCAATCGCATGCGGTCCTTGCTCTCAAACTGCGCCGAGTACTTCTTCAAGTTCTTTTTAATCTCTTTAATCTGCTCTGCGGTTAACAGAGTCGGCGGTCTCGGCCGCCACAATAATTGATTGAATGCATTTAAGTTGACCCTCTTCAGTATACGACCCTGGAAGGTCCAGATCCAGTAGCCATTATCGACGTTGGTTTTCCAGCTGGATACCGCTGTGACGACGTATCTGAAATAAAAAAAAAAAAAAAACAAAACTTATGTAACAATTAGTCACTTTAATTTTATAATTGCATGTAATAAAAAAAGTAATTATGATTTAAGTAAACTAAAAATATAATGTAAGCAACAATTAGTTTAAATTTTAATTAAAGTTAATGCTATAAAAGAAAATATGCTATGATGATTTGAGAAGAAAGAATAGATTTACCTGCCGGTGGGATCCCACTCCACATCAGAGGTTTGATAGTGATCGGTCAAATTCATTATAGTAAAGTCGTTGGTGTCAATAAATTCCAGAGCACCGGCCATCGTCGTCAAACCAGCCAGAACGATGAATTGGCCCGAAGGTGACCAGAATAGATGATTGCAAGCTTTCTTCTCTAATCTCTCTGTTAATGTATAAAAAGAATGTCAAGAAAATTAACTTATAATATTAAACTGCAGCAGCAAAAGGTGATAATATTTCTCTCTCGCTCTTCATATTTCAAAATTTTTATATATTCATGAGTTTTATGTATAGTATAGAAGAGTGAAATTGTTCTCAAGATTTTCAATTTTCCCGATTAGTTTAGATAGTGCAGGTTTTAGAGCAGGTTATTCCAACTCCTTAGTAAGTTAACTGATAGTAAAATCATATGTCTGTCTTCGTTTCAATTGAAGGAAAAAAAAAACATATGATTTAACATATCAGTTAACTTACCAAGAAGTTGGAACAACCGGCCCATAGAGTTACTTACTGAGAAGAGCAGGCTGATGACCGTATCGCACTTCATAGAAGCTAACATTCACACTGGGTAACTCCCCGTGAATAATAGCAAACTTGCTGCCGACCGGCTCCCATGCGAAAGCATGAATTGATTCTTTTATCTCCACACTATCCACAGGAATCTGCTTCTCCCTCATGTGGAAGATCTCAAAGTTGTACGACATACCCTGTAATAAGAAATATGAACAATTATAAATAATAGACATTAAAATCTTTTCTTTGCTCCCGAGAATATGAAATTTACGACACATTATTTAATATTGATACCTCTCCAATTCAAGATGTTAAACAAATCGATTATTTACCGTGTATTTTTGTTCAGTTTTCTCCTTGCGCTTAGCGAAACGGTCGACCTTGACACACAAATAGTCACCGGACTTTTGCCAAAAAATCTTGCAGTCAGCCACGTTGAACAGATTTTTATTTCGTATCTCATTGCGACTGAAAGTTAAAGAATAGCATCACAGTAAGTAATTTTTTTCATTTTTTCAGGTGACTTTGAAAGTAACTTATGATTTCAGGAACTCACTTGGGAATTTCGAGCAGAGTTACTCTTGCCGGGACGTCTTTGTCCTCCGGCACCCAATAAGCGAGCACGTTATCAGTTGGGGACCAACTGAAGTCTCTAATACCTGGGATCTTGATACTCTTTTTATCCAAAAGACCAAACGACTGGAAAAATAATGCAACAGTAACCATAAATAACTATAAAATTAGAATTTTATAATAAAAATAATTAACATTGATACAGATTATCTAGTGCATACATGAATAATGAAAATATGTAGTGTGAAATACGTTTGGAAACCTGCTTAAATATAAATTGACAAAAAATATTTACCGGGGTCTCATAGACACTAAGAACGTCTTCTCCCATCCGTGCTAAATACTTGTCATCGTGCGACCAACGGAAGATTGGCCAGACGGAAGATCCATCGGGGAAGAAAGACCGCTTCTCTTGACCTGACAAGATGTCCCATATCACCAAGCGCTTCTGATCCGAACTCAAATCAGTGCGCGGAGTGTAAGTGACAAGGTAACGTTCGCCGGGTGAAAAATCTATACATTCGACACCTCGCTGACTAAATCTAGCCTGTTGGGTAAACTGTGGGCCACCCCACAGAGCAACTCCTAGCTTGTGGAATGTGGATAAATAAGTGCCAAGCGGCGACCACTTTACATATGTTTCCGTCCAACGCTGAAAATTTAATTACCTTTTTAAAGATTTTATTACCGTTACTAAATTATATGTAATCTTAAAGCCACGATCGATTTTTGAAACAGATTACATATTGTGAAATCCATCTTATTCAAAATAAAATTGATTTCAGAAACAGAACACACTACTTACGTTACGTTCTTCGAGTAAAGTGGGTTCGGGTGCAGAGTTCTGCCAAATTTGTACAGATACACCAGCCCCATTGCCACAGAGGACACAGAATTGATCATAAGCATCCGGTTCCAACAGATGATAATGCAAGTCACTAGCAGCCTTGAAAGGCTGAGGCTTTGGAGGCTCCCAATTCTCAGGAATGTCTTCAAACTTCTTAAAGTCCGTGAACAGATTGACCTTGAAGGTGTGGTATTTGTCGATCTTATAATTATTGGTGGACTTAGCTGCCGCAAGTGCATTCAAAGGATTATTATATTCCAAGAAAATATATCTGTGGAGAATTAAATATATGTGAACAATAAGAAAATTAATGAGATAAGAAGAGAAAGAAAAATATTCTGTAGAATATTTTATTATTTTATCAAAAAATAAAATTATTTAAAAAATATTTTGCAGAATTTAAATTCTTTTAATTTAAACTTACCCTTTGGTAACATCATTCTCATTCTTTGGATAGTACTGATTAACTATTGTACCAAATTTTCCCAATACTTTGTTGATGACAGATTGTAGCTTCTCCAACTTATCAGGATCTACCTGAGGTACACCATCGACAACAATCACAGATTCTACCCCATCAGTTTCCGAGGGTTTCTGCTTCAAGATATCACCCAAAAGTTCTGCAAGTATACAGTATAAATATAATATTGTTATTTAAATATTATCTAATTATATATTTCAAAGCTATCCAGTTATCTTATTATTTAAGAATTGTTTGAAAAGATAAAAATAAGAGATAAACTTGAAAAACAGAGGGATCCTTTTTCTATTAAGTGCTTCAAAATATTTTTTCTCCTCGTGTATATCTAATTTAATGTTATGTAGTCATATTTTATTATTTTGACATTTCTATTGTTTTACAAACTTAGGCCAAAATTGAAACAAGATCAAAACTCTGACGATTTCGCACAGTTATAATATGTAATAAATATAAATCATACTTGCATGAATTAAATATAAGTAAAAAAATCGCCATAATGTCCAGATATTTATAGGTTAAGTCACGTTGACAATTTTGTATATCTGATGACCGATGACACCACTAATAGCCTTTGATAATTAGAAGCATCTTAAAATTGGTCACAAACTATTCAGGATTACTGGATCAGTAATGAGCAATCTTTAAAGACAATAGTCACACGTGGTATATGTGGTATGTGAGGTGTGCCATGCTTGCAGCGAGGTGGTGAACGACAGATGAGTATCTGGGTTGGGGAATAAGGAAAAAGTAAAGAGAAGCTTACCCTCGTCGGTGATATCATCGACGAATCCTTCGGGGTCACTGAAGTTAGGCTCCTCGTCGTCGTTCATCGGATCGTCGTTACCTTTCGCAGCGTCTTCGTTCTGTGCCGTTTTCTCGGCCTGCGTTTTTTTCGCCATCTTGGAAACCTCTATGCACGCTGTCGTGCTGTATCCGTGCCGCGCCGTAACGGAAATGGTAATAGGTCGCAATCACGGCGAATCACTTGTTCACGCGCATGCGCGCGTATATCATAAGGGCAAGAGCACAAGCTTTTGCATAACACATAATACATAACGCATAAGAGAATAAACTAATTAGTTTTCTTCATTTCCCTCCTCAGCAGCGCGATTCTTTAACTCATTATTGGAGTTAACGACACTTTCGTTATCGTTGCCCAGCTTTTCTACGGTATACAAAAGCTGCGCAACAATAACGAAAGTGTCGTTAACTCCAATAACGAGTTAAAGAATCGCGCCGCTGTGGTGCGATTCTGTAACTCGTTAGTGTATGTCTACAACCTCGCTTTAAGAAAATATTTTATCTTTAAAGCCAGCGGCACACGGTGCTTGTTTTCGTGCTGGATTGCTTGCTGGATGAAAATATTGCGTTGTGATTGGTACATTTCCGAAGATGGATGGAAATGCACCAATCAGAACGCAGTATTTTCATCCAGCAAGCAATCCAGCACGAAAACAAGCACCGTGTGCCGCTGGCTCAAGCCGTAAGCTTTAAGCTGTAAGCTGAAAACTGTTAAATAAACCTTAAGGTGCCAATACATGGGAGCGTCGAGCGTCGAGCGTCGAGCGTCGAGCGTCAAAGCGTCCAACCAATCAGTTTTTCATTTCTTATTTCACGGATAAAAACAAGGAACTTTGATTGGTTGGACGCTTTGACGCTCGACGCTCGACGCTCCCATGTATTGACACCTTTAAAGACGGTAATTCACAATATAAAACGTAAGGCGTAAAACGTGACGTATATCAGCCAATGAGAGAAGGGTTATTCGGACTTGGTGGTTGGTGATAATGACCCATATTCAGAACGTGCTTATAACTATGTTAGCGCGTTGTTAACCAATGAAACCAATGGAAAGCCACGCAATATGCCTTCTGATTGGTTAACAGCGCACTAATATAGTTATAAGCACGTTCTGAATATGGGTCATTCGTTTGTAAACACGCAGTTTCTTTACTTTCTACATAATCAAGATGGATTTACGTCAAGCTCTCCTGCTAACAACGGTGTTGTGTTCGTGGAATGTGCATCTTTTACAAATATATGGAGTACAAAATCGAAGGTTATATCGGCGAGCGAGGTTATATTCACGATCGACGGTGTATTCTTTTTGACACGACAAAACGTCCTCTTCGCTTATTGACTGAAAATTATATGTCGACTTTAAGCTCTACGCTTTAGGCCGTAGGAATTGAGTTTTGCGCAATTCGCTTAGATCTAACGGCTAAAGCTTAAATACTACGCGAATGTCTAAAGGCTCGTCTACATTAGCTGTAAGAGTAAGGCTGTAAGGTTGCAAGACACGAAATGAAATATTTTCATTCGCTGACAGCTTACGTTACAGCCTTACAGCCTTACTCTTACAGCTATTGTAGACGAGCCTTTAGAGACGAAAATGACGTCATTTAACACTTACGGCTTGGAGCTCATATCCTCTTAAAGCAAGGCTGTAGACATACACTTCGCACACAAGAATCGCACCACAGGCCCTTATTCTAGTGCTGTACTGAAACTGCATTACTGCACTAGTTCAGAACTAGAACTGACGAGTACGAAATATTTCTTGAACTTTTCAAACACAAAGTTCAGCTGGAAAGAACAAATCCTGTTATTCATTATTCAAGGAAGTAAAGCAATAAATCTGTTCATTGATCTGTTCTTTTTCAAAAAAATTAGTATATACTTTCAAAACTCGAAAAAGAACAAGTAGACAGTCGAGACTTGATGGAAAAGTGAGGAAAAGGAAATTGGTGCAAAGCAATCTAGGAAATTCAGGGAAAAACAGCCTGCATTCATGCATTTGAACTGAATTTCTCAAAAAGTTTATTTTCTCAAAAAGTGTGCACTGAAGCCATTGAGCTCTATGAGAGAGAGAGAGAGAGAGAGAGAGAGAGAGAGAGAGAGATATATATATATACAGGGTGTTATAAAAGTCCCGGAAGAGGAGAATAACTCGAAAAATATGAGTCCTACAAAAAATGCGAAGTACTGGGTTTTTATGATTTTTTCCTGGCTATCTGACGGTGACCTTGGATTTGACCTTGACAGTGACATTGAAGGTCATTTCAAGATTAGGTCAAGTTTTTTTAAATGGGACCCCATACTTTTGACCCCAGAAATTAAAAGAGCGGAAAATTTTACGTTCGGATATGACCTTGGACACTGCCAAATTTGACTTCTGAAGGTCACATAAAGGTCTAAGCTTGTTTTAGGCTGAAAACGCGAATATCTTCGAAAATGCACCTGCTAGGGAGCAATGTTACGCATAAGAATAAGAATGTAGAGGTCAACGAGGGACATTCAGCCGTGACCTTGCCTTTATTCTCAAGGTCATGAGTTAAGATTATTATTAAGGTCAAACCGGACTTTTTTAGGACTGAAAATCCATACTTTTGACCTAAAAGTGTCAAGATTGAAAAATTTTACGTTCGGATATGACGTTTTCAACCTTGACCTGTCAAACACACTGTCAAACGGTGAACGGGGAACATTTTGAACATCTCTTGTAATCTCAGGTCGAGTTACAAGATGCTTTGCCTTCGGTGGCCGGGACTAGCTGAATCTTGTCCTCAGTGGTCGGGTTTGAGACACCTTGCCTTCAGTGGTCGGGTTTGAGACACCTTGCCTTCAGTGATCGGGTTTGAGACACCTTGTCTTCAGTGGTCGGGTTCCGAGACGCTTTACTTTCAGTAGACTTCACGATCAGTGAAGTAACGTAAAACGCATAATTTTGAGAACAAGGTCAAGGTTGAAAACGTCACATCCGAACGTAAAATTTTTCAATCTTGACACTTTTAGGTCAAAAGTATGGATTTTCAGTCTTAAAAAGTCCGGTTTGACCTTAATAATAATCTTAACTCATGAGCTTGAGAATAAAGGCAAGGTCACCGCTGAACGTTCCTCGTTGACCTCTACATTATTATTCTTATCCGTAACATTGCTCCCTAGCAGGGAGCTGGGAGGGAGGAGTGCATTTTCGAAGATACTCGCGTTTTCAGCCTAAAACAAGCTTAGACCTTTATGTGACCTTCAGAGGTCAAATTTGGCAGTGTTCAAGGTCATATCCGAACGTAAAATTTTCCGCTCTTTTCAGTTCTGGAGTCAAAAGTATGGAGTCCTATTTAAAAAAATTGACCTGACCTTGAAATGACCTTCAAGGTCATTGTCAATGTCAAATCCACGGTGACGTCCAAGGTCACCGTCAGATAGCCAGGGAAAAATCATAAAAACCCAGTACTTCACATTTTTTCTAGGACTCATATTTTTCGAGTTATTCTGCTCTTCTGGGACTTTTATAATACCCTGTGTATGTGTGTGTGTATATATGTACACACCACGCGCGCACGCGCACACACATACACACACGCACGCACACGCACATGCACACACAGCTCAATGACTGAAGCATTTTTTATAGTAAGTTAAAATATACTTAAGCATCGTTTTTTTATTGCAATAAAGCGGGAATTCAATGCATTAGTTTCACAGTCAATAATTTGTACATAGCATCTGAAAATAAACTTAAGATGGTTTTAAAAGATCTCATTGTGAATAAATTAAATAATTAAAAATTATGGAAATAGGTGGTTTTCCATAGATTTTGCAGAAAAAAAATTTTATCACATTATACATTTTATTATATATATTTACAATTTAAAACTTTGGTTTTACTATTGAGGGAACAATACATTTTAAATGTGAACCTGTATAAGATCATAAATATAATGCTGAGATCACTTGTATATGCGTGTGTGTATATAGGAATACGTAGATATATAGTCTCTTCTTTTTTTCAAAGACTTCCTAAGTAAATTGCAACAAATTGGAGTAAAGAAAAGTATATTTATCTCATTCTAACTTATATTGTACAAGTTTGTATAAAATCAGAAAGTTTTTTAAAAAAGAATTTATTACAAATTTATATTTGTGTATATATATACAAGGGCAGTCTGAAAAATTCTCGGCCTAACAATGAGAGAAATTTTTTTTGCCGTGAAATGTTTTATTTTTTAATATAATCTCCTGAAATTTCAATACATTTATTCCAACGTTTTTCCAATAATTCAATACCATCATTAAAGTGTGATTCCGGAAGGTTCTTTTCACTCTGGTGTATAGTAATGGATCCAAGTTTCATCAACAGTTATGAAACAACGGTTGAAATCCATTTCATTTTGCTTAAAACGATCCAAACATGCTTGAGAAATACGCATTCGAATGCGTTTTTGGTCAATTGTTAGCAAATGCAGCACCCATCTTGCACAAAGCTTTTTCAAGCTTGGTGTTACTACTCGAATGATTTGACAGATCGAATAAAATTTTACATGTGTTTATATCAGGGATGACACTTTCCAATACAATTATAGTTTGATAGTTTCTAATGCCATGTATGTGTCAGGTCGTGAACTTTTCAGACTGCCTACATAGTTGTATATATGCATAAATCATAACGTATTGTTACATTTACATATACCTTATACATATATTTATATATATTTTTCAAGACATATTTATTTAGCATTAGTTTTTTGCCTCACTGTCTTGCATTGTCAGTTCCCATTTTTATTATTTAATTTGGTGCCTCACTTCAGCTTCACAGAAAACAAACTTTAGACCTAGTAAGTGTGAAGATGATATTGTTATGTTGATTTATATAAATTATTAGAAACAAAATTATATCATTCCATTGTGTTATTAGAAAGAACCATATAATTTATCATGAAGTTGTAAACTTGTGGACAAAAGTCTCAATAGTTAAATAAAAGTGTAAATAAAAAACTATAAAAAAGCAGTGTAAATAAAATACTATTTGAGCAGTTAATGAAGTATACTACTTAAAAATAAATGATCATTTACTATGTTGTGTCATATTGCTCCAGAAAAAAAAGTGTCGCCAAATTTTGAAAGTTCATAATCGTGTGATTTGTGTTATTGAATCATCTTATTATTGTATCATATCAAAAATAAATATTCTTTTTCTTCATATTTTCTTGGAAACAATATCAATTATTAAGAAACTTTTTCCTCAGTTTTGCAGGTGCAATCAACATTAATCAATATATATCTCTTAAAATTAAATAAAATAAATTAAAGAAAAAATAAAGATAGAATAAGAAAATTAAAATAAGTTAGATAAGTTATAACATCCTTGAATCAGGTACTGAATCGATGGCTGCATTGTACTATACATTTCAATTCCACTTAGAGTATTCCTCGTATTTCTGAATCCACAAAGTATGATAAAAGTCAGTTTGATGTAGAATTAATTTCTTCTGAGCATGGAGCTTTACCGTGAAAATAATATCATAAAAATAAATGTATAATCTGTAATCGACATAACTGGAAACGTTGACAAACGAATAAATACATACTGAGAAGAATACAAAAGACTGTAGCAGCATCTTGTTTCGTATATGCATTTTGTTCCGTATTTGTATTTTTTGAGATGAGATCACTGAACTTTGCATATGGTTGATTAGACCATAACACCTCTAGCAAAGCTAATATTTCTCGGCTTATTAAAGGTATATAGTGTGACTTTTTACTTGAGCTGACAACAAAAAGAGTATCTTTGTTATATATTGGAGAGTTTCTTTCTTAAGATAACAATAAACTATCCTTACGGAAAAACTCTCAAATATTGAGTATCTACATTCAATTATTCGAATTTACTCTCAAATGTTAGTGTATACACTTTTTCTGTAAGGATAAGCCTTATAAAAAGAAAAAAAGTTCTTAAAGAAAAATATCAAATGAAAATGACGTGTTAAATAGAATGCTAAAGCAGAAAGTTTTGTTGCTTTAATTTGCGTGCACGCGCATGTGTATGAAGCTGATTAATTATAAATTAATATTTTAATAATTTCAAATGTCTATTTTAAGAAGGCGACATATAATAAATAATAAAAAAACATTTTTTGTTCTCAATCTGAAAACGGAATAGAGAAAACTGAGAACAAAATTTATCTGCAAAAATGTAGTTTAAACAATTGATACGTTAAATGTTGCAAATTAACAGGCAAAGAAAATTTCGAGATACCATGTAGAAGATAATGAAAGTTGATTTCTTGTTATGGAGGGATCTTGTATCTTTCCCAGTAAAATTTCTATATCTTCAAGGCTACTAGTAACATCTATATCCATATCTGTTCTTATCTCCTGATGTAGTATCAATAACACTGAAATAATTTTATAAATGAGACGTTATGAATTTGAAGTACTGAGAAATCAAAATGTTGGAAACATGAGAAATAGCGATGTAGGGAAAAAAAGGGAGAATTGTGAAAATAAAAGGAGAAATTAGAAAAACATTTTGGTTATTATATATGTTCTAAATTTGTACATTGAAAATAAAGGACAAGCAAGAGTCAGCGCGATAGTTTTAAGAGACTAGTCTTTTAGATGAGTTTGTTATACTAACAGTGGAGCTTGAACAGTACTGAATTGTTCAGTGGAGGGTTGTTCAAGCTCAATGAGCTTACTTGTCATTGATGCTGTATAGTCCTCTCTTGTTTTTTGTAATTCACGTATTTCTTCTTGAGCTGGAATTAAATATATACATTTATTTATAGCATTAAGTTTTAACAAGAATGTTTAATAAGTGAATATTTGAATATGATTCTATGTTGTACTTTGCATAAAAACAGATACAATGTCTTCGTTTGTGCTACTGCATATTTTTTCAGTGTGGTTAATATAAAGTTTGCGCAAAGAGTTTGTATTACATCGTAATGGTTGTTTCAAGAGATCAATGGACGGTATCACAAATGTTTGTGGTCTTTCCATCCCCTGCAAATATTATCCAAAGAATGTCAGTTAGAGTATGAGAGTGTTAGTTGTATGTTGTCTTTGAAAGTTTCTCAGGATTAGACTGTCTGAAACACTGCATTCTTATACTTAAAAGATCTTCAGGTTTGTATACTTTATGACTCTATACGAACTTATATAAGTTGGAAACTTACTCTGCATTGAAAATTTATATTTTGACGCCATTTTTTTAACATTGTGTCTGTTAATATTATCCTCTTATCAATAACTAAATTTTTCTTTTTGACTACAAATGTATCAAAACTCGAATGTACAGGTTCCAATTCCATGTCAATGTCTGGGATTATGTGTCATAAAGAAGCTGTCATTTCCATATCTTTTATAGACAATGTATAAGTTAGTCTTTGTTCTGGCATTGAAGTATCCTCTAGAGGTGCAGCAGCTATGCTCAAAGTATCCATAATAGGTAATTCAATATTTTCTAACGATATCTGTAAAATAATATATAGAAAAGAATTTCAGTGAATATTAGAATAAAATGTAATGTGTGTGATATTTCTGGTTATTCCTGATATTATTTATATTACTTTAAAATGTTAATTATGTATTATAACAATAAATTATAAATTATAAAATACATACACGCTTCCTTTTCGTTGGTGTCTCTCCCTGCGACTGACGTAGCAGTCGTTTTCGTGGAGTTGATGGTAAATTTTCTCTGAATTCATCTGTTATTTTTGATTTATCCGAAAGCACGGGACTCAAGATTGCACGTGGTAATTGCATCTTTCAGCGGAATTCTGTACCAAAAAACTGCTACTATGAGATTTATTATAATTTATTTTACAAATTTATTTTAAGTTATTAAATTATATAATTTAAGTAAATTGAAAGTTATTTTTATAATATCTAAATAATATCTAAATACAACATGATAATCTTTTAAACACTATCTCCAATTTGAAAAATTATCACTAATGTCAAAGTGATAATAAAAAATGAACATTACAAGAAATTTTACCTGCTACAATTTCTATATCAGTTATCTCTGTAGTGTTTTCCTTCCTGTTGTCTGTGATCTGCATTATTTCTTTCATTCCCCTATACAACAAAGTATATATTCTATTAAATATTACTGCTATATATAAACTAATTTTAAAACCAAAAGAGAAAGATAGAGAAAAAGATAATGCACATATATGATGCATATTGTTACATGATATAGTTCATAAAGAATTGAATTTTTTTACATTGGATTCAGGAAGTTGATATGGAAGGTACAGAAATCACAAAAACTAACAATGTGATATTACTCTCATATTGAAGCATAAAGTTCAATTCCTTATTAGTTAACACACCAAAATTGAGGCAAACTGCGTCTTGCATCTAGATGAATAAAAATGTTTGAAATATATTAATATAAATCTGAGGATCTTGGAAAGAGCATATATATCCTTAAACTCAAGGATGGTAATTATATAGAATACCCTCCTCACCTTCGATATCGACGAAAAAATATTTAATCGACGCGTTTTTGCAAGAGAAACAACTTTTCTATTTGAAAAAATCGTCGCTCTGCCTTGTGGAGCAAGATATAAACTGTTAAAGTTGATAACAATTTAGGTTAGGAAACGGAGGCTGTCACGGAGGCACAGATAAAGGCTATCACACACAAATGAATGTAAGCAGTAAGACGTAAGCAGTAAAGAAACTGACCAATTACAATCAATTATTCTTGTAAATTTTAAAATGGCGTCCTTAAATTTCGATTGTGATTGGTCGATTTGCTTACTGCTTACATCTTACTGCTTAAGTTCGTTTGTGTGTGATGGCCTTAAGCAAGATTCTGGATGGGTTTGCAACTTTCCACGCGCCAGTGTTGGGAGATCCAAAGAATTTCCGGGCGTGCGCATTGAGCAAACGCTGTGGGAGCCTCAGAACCGTATTAATTTAAAGGTATTTTATCGCCCGTAAGATACTATGGATTAAAAATTGCAATCGCATAAATTAGGTAATCTAAATCTTGGTTATTTAAGTTGGTTCAGCTGTAATTTTCAATCTATTGTCTAATACGGGCGTAAGATCCCTCGTTTAAAAGAAAATATGAAGGAATTGTAGGGAGAGTAGAAAAGTCTGTGAAAGAAACAGAATATTTTTCATAATTAATAATAAACATATAATTTTATTTTTAATAACTGCAGAAAAATAATATATGAATATCAACATTTGTTGTAATAGCAAGGGAAACTGCGGAAAAACCTTACTAATATTCTTATAATAAAATTGTACAAAACAAATAAACGTTAAAAAGAATACTTATGTTAATGTTGAACACAATACTTAATACTATCATTAATGATATGTAAATGTTTAATATCACACACTTTCACTGTTATTGAACGTACCTGATGCCAACCAATCTTTAAAAATGTTCATACATAACGCTGTTCTAAATTTTTGTGCTCCAACTTTCCTCTTCTCGATGCCACTGGTTGAAGGTTGGTCATTCATTTTCACAGCAATTAATATTTTATTTAACAAAAAATGAACACTATGATTGCACTATCACTATTCTTATACACTACATATAAACACTAAGTAACACTTACATTACATTAATTAATGATATTAAGAAAATATAATGTTGATGTAACATAACATAAATATAACATATTTAATGTTTACTGGGTAACCTAACCCTAAACCACGCACTCGCGGAAGAAACGCGAGAAAACAACTACGGAAAACAAATATTTTGCGCGGGCCCCTCCATGCCTCCTCTGTCAAGAGTTTTAAACCGTCAGTGGTTTTTGACATATATGTAGTTCTACGTTACTTCAGGCATGCGCTGCAAGCATGGGAAATTCTTTGGATCCCCCAGCACTGCCACGCGCAACGACGGCGGAGAGGTTGCGGGAGGGGGGCCTAAGGCCCCCTTTGCACCCCCGTGTGTATGTGTGTGTGTACATATGTTTGAGACATTTTCATTTATTAAACATATGAATTTGTAGTTTATGTATCAGTAGTTATTACACAACAAAAATAACCACTGATACATAAGCTAAAAATTCATATGTTTAATAAATGAAAATGGCCGCGTTCAGCAGATAAAGCTATTTATTAAGCACTTAGTGATTATTAACTATGATTGAAATATTCTTTTAGATCTTTAACGAATCCAAGGGAATGAACCAATCAGGAGCGATAATCACTAAGCGCTTAGGCCCAGTTTCACAACTTGCTTTAAACTCCGTTTAAAGCAAGTTGTGGAATTGGGCCTAAAGCTAAGACTCCATGCATGTGGTGAACTGCGGCAAATGCTGCGGTGACCAATCAGGAGGGAGGCGCAAGTCCGGTTGCGGCAAGCTCCGGCATGCGTCTGTCTCCTGATTGGTCACCGTAGCCGTTTACCGGAGCTCACCGCATGCATGGAGTCTTAGCTTTAGTAAGCAGTTATTTCTGCTGAACACAGCTGTAAAGGTCATTCTACAATGAGGTTGTAATAGCAGAGAGAAGAATGAGAGTGGCCACCGGCCGTATTTCGGGGGATACAGCTAGGCGCATTTTAGATACGCCATCTGACCAAAATGCGCCTAAATTACGTCCGCTAGGCGCACTTTCGCGGTGATAAAAGTAAAATGCGCCTAGGTTCGTGTCCGTACTACTTTCATGCAATGGATAGTAGATTAGAAAAAGACAGACGACAGACAATCGTTCCGTCTTTGTCTCACTACTGAGCGGCGCGCGGCAGTAAACACGAGGCGAGGTAGCGGCGATCTTATCGCTAAGTGAATATCTCTCCGCTTTTCTTTCATCTTTCACGCTCCAGAGACATCAAAAGACGCGGTAGCGTCTCGTGTCAAGGGAACGTGCGAAGCGAGGAATTATTTTTCACGCACGCGAGGTAGCACATGGGAGACTAGACGAGCGTCGACATATTATTTGTTTCTTTCCCGCTCGTCTAGCTTATTAACTGCGTGAGCCGCGAGATTTTTCTCACTACTCCTATACCTCGCTCTTTCTCTCTCTCTCTCGCTCGTTCTTTCTCTCTCTCGCGCACTTGCTCGCTCTTCCTCTCTTTTCGTGTTCTTACGGCTTGATTAAATATATTAATTACATGACAATATATATATATATAAATAAATGACACATATATAGTGTATATGTATATAAAGAATATTTAGTATTAATGCACAAATAAAGAAGAGAGAATTATAATGAGAGACGAAAAGTTAATAGAAATCCACTCTTAGCCAATATATACATCTTTTAAAAATGATTTGTTATTAAAGTATGACAGAATAATTTATTTATGCTAATAAATTTAAATTAAAAATTAAATGAAATGTTATTTGTTTTGTAAAAGATATTCTATTGTTACATTTTTCTTTTCGTAGCAAAAATAAATTTAGTCTAGTAAAAGAAGAAATTAGTTTTATTATCATATTTCAATTACGACTTTATTATTTAATTTTACGAATAGATAACGTGCATATTGTTGCTCAACGGAAACCGCGAGAAAATGGTGATCTCCGTCAAAAAATAAATGCAAACTTTTTAATAATATAATAATTTTTTTACGTAAGTGTTTGTTTTTATAGTATAACCTGTTGAATTTTATTAATTATTAATTCAGCATGTTATAGTATAAAAAATATATTTTAATATAAAAATTAATGTAATATTAATTGTTTGCATTTGCAAGAAATATGGATAGAACAGGATAGGTTGCAATGATACATAGGAAGAAAAAAGATAGATGGATAAATAGATAGATAGATAGATAGATATAGAGATAGATATAGATGGATAAATAGATAGACAGATAGATAGATAAATAGATAGATGGATATAGAGAAATAGATAGATAGATAGTTAGATAGTATAGAAAAAAAGATAAATAGAAATATAATTATCATTATTATTATTATTAATGTTTTCAGTTTCAAGAGAACATTCGCTTAAACGTAAGTCTTACTTAGGTCCAGTTTCACGACTTATATTATATTAACCGGAATATATTATACGACTTATATTATATTAACCGGAATATATTATACGATTTATATTATTTTAACCGGAATATATTATTCGTTAATATTAGAAGTACCGAGCGGTTATTTCTGATCGTTTCTATTTTTTAGATTAATATCCTGTTTCTTTAAGATTACAGGATTTTTGTTTTGAGGGTTTGTTTAATATGATGTTTGTAAAGAATGTATATAAATTTCTACATATAAGATTAAAAATTTGAAAAATATTGCAGTGAAAGCAAGAAGGTTCCACGGTGCGCACGATATCTCAATAACTATTTGACCAATCGACTTGCAACTTGGCAGCATTATAAAATAGACTTCTCTTTACCGTTTTAATTACAATTAACCAAATTCATTAATAATTAATATTTTTTATTAAACTTTACGAGAGGCCAGAAATAGACGATTTTTGTTCTAAATGCTACTATTTTATTATTTGTGTTCCGATTGTAGTTCAGACGATAGCTATACTTATAGAAAATAAAAAGCTACTTTAAATAATTGTGTAAAATTAAATCACACACATTTAGAAATTCCTTGGAATCGTCTATTTGCAACCTCTTTGCTTTTACTGCAATATTTTATATATTTTTAACCTTACATACTTGTAGAAAAATGTATATATATTCTTCAAACATCATTAAGCAAACTCTCAAAACCCGTAATCTTTTAATCATGTGAGCTTTTTCGCTTCCGCAAAAAAAATTAACGAAATATACGTATTTTTTGTCGGGTTCAATAAGGCAACTCTTTAAAAGCCTATCTCAACAAAATTACATAATCGCATCATTGATATGCACAAGGAAATCAACCAATCATAATCCGTACAAGCATGCCTTTTATATTAGACATATTTTACATTTAATTAATCTGTTTCCTTCTCTAGAATAAATAATCATCAAAGGTCAAGATAACGTCAAAATTATTTTAACTTAATTTTGACATAATCTTCACTTTTATATAATTATTTGTTCTACTTCAGTTATGCATATGAACAATATGACTATGCAAGTTTGTCTCAATAAGTTTTAAACTCCGGTTAAAATAAATTATGAAACTAAATCTTAGCGTTTTTCAATCATCGGCATCTTTCACGATGTTACGATTATAAATATTATCTATATAACCAATTGTAACCTACACAATGGAACGCTCTTCGATTGAACCGATTGAAATTGCTCACATCAATTATCAATGATATATGGCCTTTCATTACATTCTCTAAATTTCAATTGTTAATTGAACAATTCCTTTCACAAGTCAAAGATTAACATGCTGATTTGAAACATAATGCAAAAAGCTCGAAAATAAATGCGAAGCAGAGAAGAGATTAACAATGAATGATTATTATTTAATATGCAACTTACATTAACATGGAATGTCTAATTGATTTAATGTCTCGAAGCTACTGAATATGAATTTCAAATCTCTTCCTTTCTGTAGGAGGTTTTTGGCTGTTTCGGTTACTTTCCTCTACATTTATATTGATGAGTTGAGGCACTTGTTTCTACGAGATGTTTAAAATTCGGCTGACTTTACAAATGTTAACACTCGTAACTGGACCTAAGTAAGACTTACGTTTAAGCGAATGTTCTCTTGAAACTGAAAACATTAATAATAATAATAATGATAATTATATTTCTATTTATCTTTTTTTCTATACTATCTAACTATCTATCTATCTATTTCTCTATATCCATCTATCTATTTATCTATCTATCTGTCTATCTATTTATCCATCTATATCTATCTCTATATCTATCTATCTATCTATCTATTTATCCATCTATCTTTTTTCTTCCTATGTATCATTGCAACCTATCCTGTTCTATCCATATTTCTTGCAAATGCAAACAATTAATATTACATTAATTTTTATATTAAAATATATTTTTTATACTATAACATGCTGAATTAATAATTAATAAAATTCAACAGGTTATACTATAAAAACAAACACTTACGTAAAAAAATTATTATATTATTAAAAAGTTTGCATTTATTTTTTGACGGAGATCACCATTTTCTCGCGGTTTCCGTTGAGCAACAATATGCACGTTATCTATTCGTAAAATTAAATAATAAAGTCGTAATTGAAATATGATAATAAAACTAATTTCTTCTTTTACTAGACTAAATTTATTTTTGCTACGAAAAGAAAAATGTAACAATAGAATATCTTTTACAAAACAAATAACATTTCATTTAATTTTTAATTTAAATTTATTAGCATAAATAAATTATTCTGTCATACTTTAATAACAAATCATTTTTAAAAGATGTATATATTGGCTAAGAGTGGATTTCTATTAACTTTTCGTCTCTCATTATAATTCTCTCTTCTTTATTTGTGCATTAATACTAAATATTCTTTATATACATATACACTATATATGTGTCATTTATTTATATATATATATATTGTCATGTAATTAATATATTTAATCAAGCCGTAAGAACACGAAAAGAGAGGAAGAGCGAGCAAGTGCGCGAGAGAGAGAAAGAACGAGCGAGAGAGAGAGAGAAAGAGCGAGGTATAGGAGTAGTGAGAAAAATCTCGCGGCTCACGCAGTCAATAAGCTAGACGAGCGGGAACGAAACAAATAATATGTCGACGCTCGTCTAGTCTCCCATGTGCTACCTCGCGTGCGTGAAAAATAATTCCTCGCTTCGCACGTTCCCTTGATACGAGACGCTACCGCGTCTTTTGATGTCTCTGGAGCGTGAAAGATGAAAGAAAAGGGGAGAGATGTTCGCTTAGCGATAAGATCGCCGCTACCTCGCCTCGTGTTTACTGCCGCGCGCCGCTCAGTAGTGAGACAAAGACGGAACGATTGTCTGTCGTCTGTCTTTTTCTAATCTACTATCCATTGCATGAAAGTAGTACGGACACGAACCTAGGCGCATTTTACTTTTATCACCGCGAAAGTGCGCCTAGCGGACGTAATTTAGGCGCATTTTGGTCAGGTGGCGTATCTAAAATGCGCCTAGCCGTATCCTCCGAAATACGGCCGGTGGCCGCTCTCATTCTTCTCTCTGGTACTGGATTGCTTGCTGGATGAAAATACTGCGTTCTGATTGGTGCATTTTCATCCATCTTCGGAAAGATGCTCCGCGTTTTAGAAGCCAGTGTGCCGCTGGCTTAAGAGGGGAGTTTGTCCTCCCTGGATTGCATTTCTGGCATCAGTGCGTGCCAGTTGAGTGTTGTATAAAGATAGTCGTCTTTCCTCGCGGCTGAACCACACGAAGAATGGCATCAATATGTCGGATAAGGTTTCCTTCAAGCACAGATGTATAGCTTCCTGCAAGTAAGAGCCACCGATATAATATAAATAACATACCTGGAAAAATAATAATTACATATAATGTAGATATGAAATTGTTTTCATTGTGGTAGCAAAGCTATTAATGTTACAGCTTCAGAATAACTTTCATCACTTTGATTTTCAAATTCCTCCATTTGTTCCAATGTTGAAATTGGTAGGTTATGTAGTTTCTATGGTACAATATGGCGATCTTGGACGCATTGCAAAGTTTTTTGTAATATTCCATTCATTTTTTTGAAACAAAAATATAAAATACAGTCATAGTGTAAAATATTCTACATTCTATGTATTTATGGTAATTATTTAGAAGACGGGCCTCACCTTGGATTTCGCTCAAACTCACCTATCTTGTATATTTTGACGTGTAGAAGCCGAATCTGCAAGTAAAAATGGTCGCTCGGCTCTAGTTTGCGAGAAATAAATAGTTAAAAAGTGACACATGCGAGGTTAGGAAATCTGTCATGTCGGTAATACAGAGATGTATGGTCTGTTCTTTTTAGTCCAAAAGTGTAAAATAGTACATGTGGGGAGGGGCGAAGCCCTCTCCCCAAAGACATTTTCATATATTAAACATATGAATTTTTAGCTTATGTATCAGTGGTTATTACACAACAAAAATAAACATATGTATACATACAATACCACAAACATATATGTATACACACACACACACGGTGGGTGTAAGGGGGGCCTTCGGCCCTCCTCCCGCACCCTCCCCGTCCTTGTTGCACGTTGAAAGTTATAGCAACTTTCTACGTGCAATGAGGACGGGGAGGGTGCGAGAGGGGGGCGAAGGCCCCCCTTGCACCCCCCTCGTGTGTGTATGTGTACATATGTTGGTACTGCATGTATATACATGTTGAGACTTTCATTTGTTACATATCCCCCTCCCGTACCCTCCCCGTTCTCGTTGCGCATTGAAAGTTATATCCATAAGTTACTGTATTACCGACATGACAGATTTCCTAACCTCGCATGTGTCACTTTTTAACTATTTATTTCTCGCAAACTAGAGCCGAGCGACCATTTTTACTTGCAGATTCGGCTTCTACACATCAAAATACACAAGATAGGTGAGTTTGAGCGAAATCCAAGGTGTGGCCCGTCTTCTAAATAATTACCGATAGCATATTCATGTTGATGTTGATGACATGCATCTTGCCTGGCTTGGCTTGCATCATAATTGGCACCAAGTCTTGGAATTGAGGCAAAGCATTATTAGTATGTTTTATCATAATCTGTATGCAATGTAAAACTGTATATTATTATTAGTCTATGTTTAGAGAAAATTCAATATTTGTGTGTGTTTGTGTGTGCAGTATATCCTGTGTTGGTGTGCATCTGTACGTGTAGAGTATATCCCTTGTCAAGAGAAATGTTTGTATGTGTTTTCATGTGTGTGCATGTTTCTTTATGTGGTGTTTGTGGTAATTCTGGGTGAATATTAAAATATGTTGTCTTCTCATTTTGTTGCAGCATCCTTTCGATGTTATTGATATCCTTGTTGATTGTCCCAGGTGTGGTAGAAAGTGTCAATATATTTCTCTTGTGCTTTGGTTCCTCATCAGATGATGCAGTTTGATAACGCAATGGTTTTTGAACAGCATGCTTTTGCAAATATCTGTAAGTATGATATTTCTCTAAATAAAATATGCCGCTTATAATACAATAAATTTAATGGAATTATAAGATCTTATATTTATTCATGGTAACATAAAAATATTTCTGGTATTACTTACGACTACTCTGTATGAATTAATGTGGCCACAATGTATGATGATTCGTTGATGATTCTGTGATATCCTCTTCATCACTGTCGCTATCCACTGATGTTTTTTCAGATAAAGGCATCCTGTAGACTTGCATAAATTTGATCAAAGTTAATAACATGAATGTTGCTACTAATATTGCTATATTTGTAAATGTAAAAAGCTGAAGATGACATTCCAACATAAAAATCATACACCTATAAAAAATGCTTAACAGCCAAATGATAAAAATTGTTCTCTGCAATAATATTGAAAATAATACAAATGGATACATCTACCAAAATACAACAATTGTCTCGCACAGTGGTACTTCGGGATATTCCATTATATTCAATTTTGGAATGATAATAATTATTTTTTCTGTTATTACATGGTGTTGATACGTGAATGGATGAATCGATATTATTACTTTGTCCATGATGTCATATTTTCACCATTATATCAGCAAATTGTTGTAAGTCTGGTTTCCTGCAATATTTTCTAAAACTGGACATATTATTTCCATAAGGAAAAGTGGAAAATGATTCTGAAGTGCCAAGATGCCTAATGTCGTTTGTGAAATGAAGCAGACCATGAATATTGTAACTATTGAAACTTGAACCATAAAGAGTATTAGAATGAAGTACAAACTTTTGCAACACAAGTCCCACGAACATCAGATGTTTCTCCAACTGACACTTTAAAAGTAAGACTCTTATAGCAGCATGTAAAAGCAAGAAGTGCTTGTACAATTGTCCGTCTAAAATACCGTACATTACAACAGGTCCTGTATACCCTGTATAAAATGTCGTATTTAAAAGTATCGTTTCGCATTCGCGAGATTTCGTGATGAATTCTGCTTTGCAGAAATCTCGGATTGGATCGCGGGCCAATATTTTCAATGTTACGGGGAATAGAACGTAAAAATCTTGTATGCCTCTGAATCCGAAAACGATTAGGAGAAGAAGTGAATATTTTTCAATGCGAAAGTTCGCATTTGAAAATTATCGATTGCGATTGAATGCAAGGCATATTTGAAATGAATTGAATCCTTTTTAATGTGAAGCATTCACCGTGCCGTCTCGCATTTAGCGCGGTGAAATTTAATGGGAACTAATACTTTTCAATCCCTTTCTTCGGATCAGAAAGCAGAATTCAGAGATATTCAAAATGTCAATACTTTTTAATATGTTTCAATTCGATATTTTATATAAAAGAAACTGACGAAATTCTATTGCTTTATATTTGGAAAATATACCTGAAGATCTAGGGCGTCTTGAAAAATCTGTAGGACAATATTATTGTAAATTATTTAAACGAGTATTAATTATAGAAAGTGATACTGCTGAAAATTTAGATAAACGTGAATACATGTACCAATGCAGACAATATTTTTTTCACTACACTCAAGCATACTAAATGCATATACTCAAAGTGCACTTGAGAAATTATTCCTATTGGTAGCATAGATAATGGACTTGTATCCTTTTTGTGACGATCTTCATCAAAATACAATTTATAATTTTCATCAGTACGGGAAGGACGATTGACCATTAAATATACAATGACCATTACTTTGTGTGTCATAAACTTTACATTTGGAATAGGGGTAATTAGACTTATAACCACAATGATTTAAAATAAAAGCTCGAACAGGTGCATCAGCTATAAAAGACCTTAATTTTATTGGTAGGTACAAGACTCTCTGCCACGAAAATGTATACCTCCATTAGATATAATAGGTGTAACATTAGCAAAGAACTTTTCAAAAAAAGCGATAGGATCACCAGGCTTTTGTGCATCTTTATAAATTCCTACAATTGGTTTGACATTTTGTACGTTTATTATTCTGCATTGAATAAGCCAGATTTGAATAGTAGATGATTTATCCAAAGTACATCTATTAGTGTTAACAATATTCCATTAGCAATATCTCAACAAACAGAATATCATTGCCGTCATAGAGAAACTTCCTATATGAATGTTTATAGTCACTAAATTTCATCGTCAAAATATAATTATATATATTATTATATATTTATATGTATAGATGGACATGTATAGATTGACAAAAGCGTGCTGTTTAAAAATCATTGCGTTATCAAACGTCATCTGATAAGGAACCAAAGCGCAAGAGGAATACATTGATCGCACTTTCTGCCACACCTGGGACAATTAACAAGGACATCAATGACATCAAGAGGATGCTGCAACAAAATAAGAAGACAACATATTTTAATATCCATCCAGGATTAACACAAACACCACATAAAGAAATATGCACACATGAAAACACATACAAACATTTCTCTTGACAAGGGATATACTCCTCATATACAGACACATACAAACATAGGATATACTGCACACAACACACGCACCTATGTGAAGCTGGCCCCTCATTATCAAAATTTGAAAAAAAATGATTAGAGTTCTAGTTGCCCCCCGAAAGGTTCTAGAGTTCTCAATCACACAAATATTGAATTCTCTCTAAATACACAGACCAATAATAACTAATAATATAAGTTTTACATTGCGTACAGATTATGATAATAAACATATATAATAAACATATAATAAAAATAATAAACATATACTAATGACGCTTTATCTCAGTTCCAGGACTTGACACCAATTATGACGATACAAGATGCACATCAACATGATTATGCCATCTATGCACAAAAGACCTCAGTATAGGAAGATATATATAAAAGGTATGTTTAATTAAGGAATAAGTAGCAGAAAATTTACTGGTGTGAATAGCATGTATCTGTTAATAATATTTATGTATAATTATAGACAAATAGAAGAACGAATAAATAATTTGGAAGCAGAAATGATATGTATTGCACATATAGTACATAGAATGTGTGATATTTTATACTATGACCGTGTATTTTATATTTTGCAGCCCAGCAAACTATACAGAACTTATGGAACAACGAGTCAGAAGAGGACGACATTGAGGATACGAACGACAAGTAAGAATAGTATTGCGTAAGTTGAAAGTTGAAAGTTTTCATTGGAACATTTAAATCTTGATACTTGTAATTATATATGGTTTTCAAGTGTGTATTGTATACAGGATGGATATGTAATGGACCAAGGAGCAAGATTCAATATATCACTTTGACTTAAGTTACCCAGAGAATGGAGAAGCAGAAGGGAAAGAAACAAGATGAGGAAGAGGAAAGGACAGAAAAGAAAGGAGGAATATGTGGAGGAGAGAGAAAATGGAGGAAGAGTGATTGTAAAATAAGGAGGAGGAGAAATCTGTGTGGTTTCTGTCTGTCGACAGACGAATTGGCACTTTTCAGTGCCATATTTTCTTAATGTGTCAAACGTTGATCAACTTGTCGTATTAGCAATGTGCAATCGGTGCTTCTTAGCGCCACATCAACTGCAATGAACACTTACACTCGAGATTAATTTCCAAATTTTCTTGAATGTTGCAGAAACGTTTTCGAGTCCTGTATGGAGCAGATTTTCTCTTCAATGACTCTCGTCAAGGAAGACAATGAAGAATCCACCAGATGAAAATTATACTTCATTCTTGTTATATATCTATATAGGAATCTAATATTCTAACGAAAGTAATAATGTGAATTGTTACTCGAGTATGTAGAATAATTTTATTTAGGCCGTACGTCTTGTCCGGCCTCTCCAGACGCTGTTATGTATACAACTCACAATCACCGTTCCGCCACATTTGGAGCCTCCTCAATTGAAACCAACCCTAGCGCGTATCCGCGTAAATACATAACAATTTCAAGGTATTAATTCCAATGAAAACAAGAGTGAGGGTCCGTTGTTCCAACTCCTTGGTAAGTTAACTGATAGTTAAATCATATGTTTATCTTTGTTTTTCCTTCAATTTAAACGAAGACAAATATATGATTTAACTATTAGTTAACTTATCAAGGAGTTGGAACAACCAGCCCTGAGAAACATATAAACAAAAGATATCAATAATAATTGTAACACACTAACTCCGACTAACACATTAATTGTAGCACACTAACTATAGGGGCGTAGAGCTAAGCGAGAAGAAAGAAAAAGTCCTTTTCCATTTAACGATATCTCGTGTAGTTTTTTAGTAATAACTGCTTTTTAATAATACGCTTTTAGTAAACTGCTTTTAGTAAAACTTTTTAGTAATAACGTAAAGTTGGTGTTTGTCACACTCATCGCGACCTATATACGCTATATCAGCTTTGATGCACATAGCTCGCCGCGGAGCGTATATAGGTCGCGATGGGCGTGACAAACGCCAAACTTTACGCGATTATTATTAAAAAACTATGCAAGTTATCGCAAAATGGAAGAGGACTTTTTCGTTCCTCTCGCTTAGCTCTACACCTCTATGGAGTTGGTGTGTTACAGTTATGAGACACTCTGTATATTTGGTAACATGATGTATTAATCTTTTCTGTCTTTCGTAGGGGCATTTCTGTATGCCGATGTTCCGTAGACGATAACGGCCAGATATACTTTTCGTCAAACCAAGACAACATGCAGAAGAAAAAGACTGCTAGTTTCTCCGCTATGCGAAAGTTCCCTCTTCCAGTCTCAATATCAATAAGCCAGAAACGAGACTTGCTACGAGACAGCAGGAGAGCAGTTATGAGACAGCAGGAGAGCGAGAACACCTCATCGAATATAACAGTTACAGATGAGAATATATATTATTCTCTTAGATCCAGAATTCTAGGTTTCTAAGCTCACCCTGTATTTTCTTTATCATAAGGATCTGATAATATGCTGAACAGCGTGTACGAAAACACGATCAACTATGTTCGCTGAGTATTCGGTCACGAATTAGGGATGCACGATTCTGAATTGATTCGATTCTTTCTCGAAAAAATATGGAGCAAAAGGCTTCTTCATGTTGCTTGGACTTTTCCGCACTTTTCATTTTCAAACGAGATGAACGTATATTCGGGATGTGAAAGAAATAACCAAGTGGTTCTTTCACTTTTGCTTCTTCTAAGCATCCGAACGTGCTTCCGTTTTATTCCAAATGCGAGAAATGTGAAGAGTACAAGCAACACAGACAAGCCTTTTTGAGGAAAGAATCGAATCGATTCAGAATCGTGCATCCTTAACTTGTAATTTCGGACTTAAAGATAACTTTCTTCTTCAGCATTATATCCTATTATCTAATGATAATGATGTCAATCGTAATCCTTCATAATCCTTCATCCTTCATGATTCATCGAAAAAATATCGGAACTGTATCCATTTGATCAAATGATGTTTTCTCGATCAACCATTCCTCTCTGAGTACAGAATTTCATTGCTTAAATATATGAATAATGTACATTTTATGGATATACAGGGTGGGCCATTTTAATTTATCCACACTGATAACTTCGAAGATTACGGAAATATCGAAAAATGTCCAAAAGAAAAGTTATAGGGTTCAAAAGTTAGAGGGTCAACTGATGGTGACCTTGACTTTGATCTTGAAAGGTATTTTCAAGGTAAGTTGAAGGTCAACTTAATTTTTTTAAATGGAAAGCCCAATTTTTTATTATATCTTCTTTTTCTACCAATTAATTTTAACAACTTTTGTCTGAAACATTTTTTATTTGCCTAATATTTTTTAATTATTTAAGTAAAGCTTGATAACTTTTTCAATATTTAACTTACGATATCTTGCTAATCATTTATCGAAAGAAAACATGATACTGGACTTTATTATTCTATTTAATCCCAAGAATATATTGCTATAATAGTGCCTTTACTTTATTATAGCTAATTTATCGATCTTTGGAAATTTCAAAATCATCAAATTAACAAAAGTAAAGGCACTATTATAGCAATATATTCTTGAGATTAAATAGAGTAAAAAAGTTTAGTACCATTTTTTCTTCCGATAAATGATTAGCGCGATATCGTAAGTTAAATATTGAAAAAGTTACCAAGCTTTTCTTAAATATTTCAAAAAATATTAGGCAAATAAAAAAATGTTTTAGACAAAAGTTGTTAAAATTAATTGGTAGAAAAAGAAGATATAATAAAAATTGGGCTTTCCATTTAAAAAAATTAAGTTGACCTTCAACTTACCTTGAAAATGCCCTTCAAGGTCAAAGTCAAGGTCACTATCAGTTGACCCCATTCGAACCCTATAACTTTTCTTTTGGACATTTTTCGATATTTCCATAATCTTCGAAGTTATCAATGTGGATAAATTAAAATGACCCACCCTGTATACACATATAATAGAATATACATTCTTTTTTCGTTATATTTAATTCTATTTCAACATTTCTTTCCCAACATAAAAACCTAGATAGCATAAGCATGAGTCTTCTTTCATATTGCGAAAATTAGATATATTACATCCTATATAACAAGGTATAAATGTTAAAATAAATACTATATAATTTCTCATTATATAACCGGTCGATAAAGTATCTGAAGATAAATTTAAAATTCTTAAATATAAGATCTAATTATGAATACAAAGCAGTTTGATTATTTAAATATATTAATAACATACGTTTTATGGATATGTACACATATAATAAAATATACATTCCTTTTTTGTTATATGTATTTATTTATACTTCAACACTCCTTTCTCAACACTATGAGGTCGCTATGAAAACCAAGAAAATGAAAAAAGATCTTATTGCGCAATATTATATTCCTCTTCTCCCTGTTCTCTCTCTCTCTCTCTTTCATACATCTCTCCCTCCCTCTCTCTCTCTCTCCCTTTCGATTTTTAAATTTACTTATCTAAATGATTCTGCGTCCACGTGGCGTCTCGTTGGTTTCTGCAAAATAAATAAAATATTTAATATATATGTCATGTAAATAAAATATTTAATATATATATATGTGTGTGTGTGTATATGTGTGTGTGTGTGTATGTATATATGTGTTTATATATATATATGTGTGTTTATACTTACATAACTACACTATACACCAACGTCGTATCATCTCTCATCAACGTTTCGTCTACGACTGACCTTCTATGTCAGTTTCAGTTCATTTAATAAATAAATCCCCACTCCGTCCCTTCCAGGTTGGTTGGTTGGTTTTATTTTTGGTTCCGAACTGTTCCGAAACAATATCCACACGCCATTTTCCATTCCGTCCCTTCCAGGTATTAACTATTTTTACCTAATGGCCGTATCGCAAGCCATATATCAATGGCCGCATTTAGCAGACTCAACAGTTGGACAACATTACTAGATTTTCCACTGAATCTCGCTCCTCATTGGTAAATATTTCAGGGTCTATGAAGAATCTAAAAGAATGCTCCAATCACAGACAATAATCACTAAGCGCTCACCGATCATTTTGTTCTGTTGAACGCAGCCATTCTAACTTATTGCACTAGTTCAGCAGTACACTAAAAACAGTACAGCTAAAAAGAACAAACTATATATCATATAATTCAAAATGACCGCGGGTATAACAAACTCCCTTACTAAGCGCTTAGTGATTATCGTTTCTGATTGGTTCATTCCCCTGGATTTGTTAAAGATCTGAAAGAATATTCCAATCACTGGCTGCGTTCAGCAGAACAGAGTGATTAGTGAGCGCTTATACCCGTATTCATAGTCAGGCCTTATATTTGAGCCTCCTTATATCCATCTTTAGATGCTGCACGGATTATTTTATTGGCTACAGAGTCTGTAATACAGATCATCTGAAGATAAACTTAAGACAGCCTTATGGGCCTTCTACAATAAGCTATTAGTCATAAGTTGTAATCAAATTAACCAACCACAGTCGATTATTTTTGAAATAATCAATTGTGATTTCAATTGCTTATAGCTCAATTTGCTTATAGCTTATGACTAATTGCTTATTGTAAAAGGCCTCTTAAATATAAGGCCTGACTATGAATATAGTCAGGTCGGGTATTGGGCCTGAAATAACCTTGATTATTTAAATAATCAACTGTGGTTGGTCAATTTGGTTACAACTTATGACTAATAGCTTATTGTAGAAGGCCCATTAGTGATTATTCATTGGTCGCGTTCAGCAGAAAAAGCTGCTTATTAAGCGCTTAGTGATTATTATCTATGATTAGATTATTCTTTTAAATCTTTAACAAATCTAGGGGAATGAACCAATCAGGAACGATAATCACTAAGCGTTTAGTAAGCAGCTTTTTCTGCTGAACGTGGCCATTGCGTTCAGCGGAGAAAACCGCTCTGTGAGCGATTAGTGACTATTCTTTTAGATTCTTCATAGACCCAAAAGTATTTGCTAATCAGGAGCGAGAATCACTAAGCGTTCATTGATTATTGGGTGCGTTCACGACACTCAACAGTTGTGCAACTGTTGAGTAATTCGTCAACGTTATTGGTCTGAATGTAAGGAAGCAACAGTAAGGACCAATAGTCACTAATCGCTCACTGAGCGGTTTTCTCCGCTGAACACACCCATATTGTTTTTCTGAATGCAGCCATAGATAATAATAACCAAGCGCTTATTCAACAGTTTTGTAATGGAGAATTCAATTCTCCATTGAAAAGCTGTTCTCCTATTGGATGTCGGACATCGTACGTCCGGACGTACGATCCGGACATCGGATGCAGTATGAATCCTCCATTAGTAAGCAGTGTTTTATGCTGAACGCCATTGTTTTCTGGAAAGCAAAAAGTACATGTTGTATATCAAACATATAAATCGCAACAATATAAAGGCAATTACTTTTATGTTTCGAGAAGCAAATTTTACAAACATCGAGTCAATAATGTAATCTTATAAAAATATGAGTTCGTATATACATCGTGAAACATGTTAAACGTAATTTCAATATTAAACGAAATTGATAAAAGTGATAAGAAAGTGGTGTTCTCGGTGATTTATCTCATGTGGAAATTTAACCTCAAACACTCATAGGTATAAACATTCATGTAATAATTCACATAAATAGCTCGAGTTATTTTCTGTATTGATTAAATCCCATATAGCACAAAAGTTGCAGCAACATTGCTTTTTTTTTTACTTTTTATGCTTTTTGCTTAAGCATCATATTTTGTGTAATGATTTATACCTCACTTCTTTTTACTTTATTTCTTAAAAATTAATATTATCCTTATTGTCATTTTTTATAACAGTAACATGTTTCAAGTTATATATAAAATTTTAAATAATAAATAAAATTTTATGATTATATTTACCTTATTCTGTGTGTTTATTTTGTTTCTGCCAATTTATTTGACCTTTCTCAATATTGAAAAAATCCAAACCTGTAATCCCTGATGTTATAATCCTAGATATTCCACAATATTGTAGATATTTCTTTCTGTTTACCTGTAAAGCAAAAAATGTATTAAACTAAAAAAAATCCAAACAAATCATTAAAAAAGTTATAATTAACATCAAATCCAGGATTCAGAATTCAGCAAGCAGAATTTAACAAGCAATGCAATGTTAATGGTTTCTTAATAAATTGACGATTTTGCAAAATTTATTTTATAAATTTACCTGTTTGGAATCGTTACTATTCTTTATATTATATTTTGCATTTTTTCATAAATTAATAATAATGAATAAATAATTTACCCATGGATCAATTCAGGATTCTATCAGCTTGTACTACCTATATTCTCCACATATAAGTAGAACTTATGCTGCATAAATCAATGTAAGTATTTTATTTTTTATTATATTGTATATAAATTTAAGTATTTGCAATATATATAAAATAAATTTGGAGCAAAAATATAGAGATATTCCTTATCAAAGAATTCAAATATTAGATATAGAACTGAAATATCTTCATACAATTATTCTCAAATGAATATATATTAAAATGTGACTGTATTGTGGATATATTTAAACAATTGAGTATAAACGTTCAATTTGAATGCTCTTTTATAAGAGATCACATGTATATATTCTATAAAATACTTTATAATATAACAGATAGCTTAGCTAGTAAATCAGAAGATATAATAGAAACAAACAGAAGTAAAACTAATTACTTATCTGCGATAATTAAAATTGACAGATAATCCTGTTCTATCTTGTGGTCCAATTTTGGTCCCAATTTGTAGATTATGCCTCTTCACATGATCAAATGATCTGTAGCTGCACTGGTGTTAAATAGTGGTAACTGGTATAATAAGTTAAAGTGAGACAAATATAGGTTTTCTCACTCTAGTTTATTGCACTAGTTCAGCAGTGCAGCTACAAAGAACAGACTAACAGTTCTCAACAATGTTAAATTATTGCTTTTCTCTTATAATTCACTGATCTCACTGTGTATGCTATATATCTTCTCGTTTTCATCTTATTTTCTTTTAATTTGAACTTATTCTTTATAATTATATATGTCATTGAGAAAATTTGAACCTACCATAGATCAAAAATCAATATAGATCATGCCAAGTACCTAAAATGTTACTAAACTTTTATTAAATCATATTTCTGACATATATTCCTGGCAATACTAGCGAAATCGCGTTATTTTCCTATGCTTCGAGTTTTTTTCCTGCTAAAGTTGTATTTTCACCTTATTTAAACAATTAATAGTAAGCCAGATGCATCTAGTAACTTATTCACCATGTAATTATTTTATATATTTATTTTATAATATTATTCACTTTAGATGTCTAAAATCACGTCGTATCACTGTATTACGTACTTTAAATCTGTTATAATTTTATTCCCATTTTATTTACATAATTAATAATAAGCAAATCAGGTGTACTTCATAAGTCACTAATATACACTTAGTGTAGCTGGCCTATATAGTCCTTATCACCTCTCATCCTCCAATGGGATGTCAGCCAATAGTATAAGTAAATATGGCTGCCATTTGACTGCTCTTCTGCTTATTTTCAATCTAAGTCTGGATGTACAATTAATGTAATAAGCTTTTATTATGATATTTATTATCTATTGCATACAAATAGGGATTTGCTTGCACAATTGTTATTAAAATTTCGTCGTCAATGTTAGCAACATATTTTTCGTTGTCGGATATTTTTCCAAACCAGATCGAAATGTGCGTGTGCGAAATGTACATGTGCCTAAAGGTCATTCTACAATACGTGTCGTAAGTTGTAAGTCGTAAAAATTGGCGAATCACAGTCGATTATTACAAAAATAATCGGCTATAATTGGTTAGTTCTTACGACTTACGACTTACGATACGTATTGTAGAATGACCTTAAGGCCTGATCTACAATAGGTGTTGTAAACTGTAAGCCGTAAGAACTGACCAATTATAGCAAATTATTTTTGTAATAATCGACTGTGAATCGCCAATTCTTACGGCTTACAACTTACGACACGTATTGTAGACCAGGCCTTAATTACGTAGTCGTAAGTCGTAAGTCGTAAGTCGTAGAAATTGACCAATCATAGTCCGGTAAGAGAAAAATAATCGACCGCGATTGGTCAATTTGTACGACTTACGACTCTATGACTTCTATTGTAGACGAGGTGATACCAGGTATGTCGGTAATTACTTTCCGGTTTTTGTAACAGATGTCACTAGACATAAATATGCAATGTTATGATTTGATACATATGTCATTTTATTCTACTGACATTAACCTCAAAACTACACAAGTTACGTTCCGCCAAAATAACAGCGTTATAGATTAATAATTTTTTGAAAATGTCGAGTTTTGTGCCTGAAAACGTGCATTTGCGGCACGCATTACTTTTCTTGTTTAATCAAAAGAAAAAAGCCGCTGAAAGTCATCGTTTGCTGGTAGAGACTTACAGTGAGCATGTTCCAACCATAAAGGTGCCAATACATGGGAACGTCGAGCGTCGAGCGTCAAAGCGTCCAACCAATCAGTTTTTCATTTCTTATTTCACGGATAAAAACAAGGAACTTTGATTGGTTGGACGCTTTGACGCTCGACGCTAGACGCTCCCATGTATTGGCACCTTTAGAACATATGAAACGTGGTTTCGACAATTCAAATGTGGTGATTTCAACGTTCAAGACAAAAAACGTCCTGGTAGGCCGAAAACGTTTGAAGATGAGGAATTGCAGGAGTTATTGGATGAAGACCCAACACAAACTCAAAAACAATTGACAGAAAAGTTGAATGTGAGCCGAGTAGCAATTTGTGAACGATTACAAGCGATGGGAAAGATTCAAAAGATGGGAAGATGGGTGCTACATGAATTGAATGACAGGCAATTGGAAAATCGAAATATCGTCAATGAAATGTTGTTTCAAAGGTATGAAAGGAAGTCATTTCTGCATCGAATAGTAACGGGTGATGAAAACTGGATTTATTTCGAAAATCCCAAGCGAAAAAATCATGGTTATCACCTGGCGAAGGCAGCCCATCGACTGCAAGGCCAAATCGCTTTGGTCGCAAGACCATGCTCTGTGTCTGGTGGGACCAGGTGGTGTCATATATTATGAACTGTTGAAACCTGGAGAAACAGTTAATACTGATCGCTACCAACAACAAATGATCAATTTGAACTGTGCATTGATCGAAAAACGTCCACAATACGCTCAAAGACATGATAAGGTGATTTTGCAGCATGACAACGCGCCGTCTCATACAGCAAAACCAGTCAAAGAAGTGTTGAAATCACTTGGATGGGAAGTTTTATCGCACCCGCCGTACTCTCCAGACCTGGCTCCATCCGACTACCACCTTTTCGCATCGATGGGGCACGCGCTTGCAGAGCAGTATTTCGCCGATTTCGAAGAAGTTAAAAAATGGCTCGATGAATGGTTTAGCTCAAAGGAGAAACAGTTCTTTTGGAATGGCATCCATAAGTTGCCTGAGAGATGGGCAAAATGTATAGAATCAAATGGCCAATACTTTGAATAAATATATTTTAACTATCCATTGTAAATAACGTGTTTTCTTTAGCGAAAAACCGGAAAGGAATTACCGACACACCTGGTATATTGAAGGAAGGAAGGAAAGTTCGGGTCTGCCCAACTACAGAATGGTATCAAGGTGTCAATTATACCTCGTCTATAATAGAAGTCGTAGAGTCGTAAGTCGTAGAAATTGACCAATCATAGTCCGGTAAGAGAAAAATAATCGACCGCGATTGGTCAATTTGTACGACTTACAACTCTATGACTTCTATTGTAGACGAGGTATAAAGGTCATTCTACAATACGTGTCGTAAGTTGTAAGTCGTAAGAACTGACCAATTATAGCCGATTATTTTTCTAATAATCGACTGTGATTCGCCAATTCTTACGACTTACAACTTACGACACATATTATAGAATGACCTTTAAGGTCATTCTACAATGAGGTTGTAGTAGTATGCAGTAGGCAAATTGACCAATCACAGTCGATTATTCTTCGATCATAAAGAGAACAATCGATCGTGATTGGTCAATTTGCCTACTGCATACTGTTACAACCTCATTGTAGAATGATCTTTATACCTCGTCTACAATAGAAGTCATAGAGTCGTAAATCGTACAAATTGACCATTCGCGGTCGATTATTTTTCTCTTACCGGACTATGATTGGTCAATTTTTACGACTTACGACTCTACGACTTCTATTGTAGACGAGGTATTACGTGCTCATAAGCCGCACGTATTAGGGCCCAGTTCTACAACTTGCTTTAAACGGAGTTTGAAGCTAAACCAATGGTTAAGGCCCAGTTTCACAACTTGCTTTAAACGGAGTTTAAAGCAAATTGTGGAACTGGGCCTAAAAGCAATAGTATATGCGCATATACTATTGCTTTTAACCATCGGTTTAGCTTTAAACTCCGTTTAAAGCAAGTTGTGGAACTGGGCCTAGATCAGAATTGTGTCGTAGACGTTCAGTCACGGTTGTGTCGACATCGACACCCGCATCGAACCATTTTCGTATCCTATGGCCTTGGTCAAAGACTCTCTTCGAAAAAACGTTAGGATACAATCAGTTGAGCGGTGAGCTAAGACGCGCTTCTGCTATCAAGGAAGCGGTGTGTAAATGCGCGATAGTGCTAAGACCCGCACGAACGTTGTTAAAAAGCTTGTCTTGTTAAAAAGCTTGTCTCACATTATATAACTTTTGCCGTTCAGTATTTCGAAGATCAATAAGTTCTCCTTTATTTTGTAGCACATAGGCGCCCATGGTTCTCCACGATGCTCCTCGCAGAATATTGGCATTCTGGAACATCGTCTCTTACTTGAAGAAGCCGATATTTATCACATATTCGACTTGGTCGACAAAGTCTTACTGAAGAATGGCAGAGTGACCTTTTTCTTCTTCCTCGTCGAGGCTGTCACAGTTAGATAGTAATGAGAACCGAGATCGGTCGGAAACTCAGGTCGGAATACTATATTCAGACGAATTCACTTCATA